GAAGATTATTAGAAAACTGACAGTTGTGACAGTGGTGTAAGAAGAATGGTAACAAAAGAACTGCAGTACCATTCTATCTTGGATTGCTATTCAGGTTGATATGCCAGTGATTGTGGGATCTCTTTTAGCTTAGTACAAAATTTACTTGGAGGAAAAAAGTTGAGAAACTAGGTTCTGTAACACATTGGTTTCTTTAAGGCTAATTTGCATTTTTCCTCTGACCTTGATATTTACTATGACTGATGTTTTATTTTTGTTTTTGTTTTTTTCCAATAGCTGCACTCTAAATAACAGACTTAACACTGAGTTTATCAGTTGCCCGTATATGCTTATATTTTTCTTCAGGTATTGCAAAAGAAGCATAATGAACTGTTTGTACTTAGAGTAACAGTTTGTTGTATTATTTTTCCAATTGCAGTTAATGAAAGCCCATATGTTTGTACCTTTCCAATCAGCAATTATTTTAAAATACCAAAAGAACGTTTTTCTGAGAGTTTTATTATGCAAATCTTGCCTTTTTAGTATGAAAGACATAAACTGAATTAACTAGCAAATACCCTGAAAACTTTGTAGATGTGTTTTTGTTAAGACTGTATAAATTGCGAATATTTGTATACTTTGAAAGAGGAAAAATAAAAAAGGAAACTTGAGGAGTCTTAATAGCTGCTGTTACACTAGAATCCTAAGTTCTTGTCAAGCAGTTTTTCTTAGTCAACTGATACATTAATGCAACTGTTTTCCACTCTTCAGTTCTAAGCTGAAATGTGATTTTGTTTCATAGGTGATAGAAATGAGTATGTTTGCATTTGGACAAAATAGACATTTCAACTTATCAAGCTCTTAAAGGAAAATAGGTAGAACATATGTTCATGAACATGTAGATTAAATCCTTTTGTGGCCTTTGTTTATCCTCTTCTATTTGTTCCCTCCCTTCTCCCTGATGCGTGAAAAAAAATCATTGCTAAGAATGTTGGTCACAATCTTTTGTCTCTACTTGGCTGTGTTTTGGTCTCTTGTGCATAGGCAGGTGTTAGAACGAGAATAATCATTTCTAGAAATACACCGTGAAAGCAGAATGCTCAATTACACTGTGTTCTTCTGGTGCATTTACACCCTATATCACACTAAAAAGTACAACTGGCTGCTATGGTTTTTTAATATATATTTCATTTTGGTAAACCCCAGCCTTTTTACTAATATTTGACCTGGTTAAATCTTGTTAATCTGTTTGAATTGTATTTGTTAATAATGAAAATATTTCTAATCATTCTAAAACACTTCATTTTGTTAATGGTTTTGGGGAAGGATTCTAACCAAACCAGTTTGAAGAAAAATATGAACATGTGCCATTGTATTATAACACTATCCACTTTCTTGACAGTTAAAGTCTTTTTTTTATTTTTTTGTAGCATGTAATGTATATGTTCATAGTACGTGAAGTAAATAAAAGTATAGCCAAAACTTTGACCTGGTGTCATTCTCAATCAGCCATCATTGGAATACTTGCATTTAATAATCTAAAAATAAAGCTGTAGCTGTGGCCCTTATTAATTGCCCATACTCATATGAAAACAAATGTAATGCCAGCAGACATAAGACACACCAAGGTAATTAAAACAATTTATCATCCAGCAAAATACAGCTTTTTTGAAACAAGGTGACTTTCGGTAATCAATGAGTTGCTTGAGTCAAGGGTGTGAGGGAGGAAAAGTATATTCTCACTGCAAAAGAGGACTCATGAGGAATGTTAAGATGGGACTTCATAGCTATTAATCTCACTTCTACCTACACAGATGTATTAGGAAGTCATTTAGGGATTCTTTGGATGTGTGTGTCTGGAAAGATAAAAAGCTGTTTATTCATGCTTAGAATTGTCAGTAAAAACATGCATTCAGTATACAAGTTAATACCAGCAAGAATCTCATACAGGAGTCTACTAATGGTTCAGAAGGACTTAGTGGAGAGCACTATTTCAGTGAAAGGCTAAGATGTGCAGTGTACTGTCAAGGGGTAAAGCACAGAAACTCAGGACCAGAATGATTATGTCCCATGTGGGAGAACATTTCTAATGTGACTCTGCATTGCACTCTATTTTGCCATTGTAATCCTTAAAAACGGCAAGGGAGCAGTGGCCTCTAGGCCCTCGAGGGTAACAGTCTTGATGGTAATACTGACCTGGAGCCAGCCAGTTTAATTTGGGGTGTACACCAAAGAACAGTTCTATCTCCACACCAGTGGGTTCCTTAGCTCAGCAGGGTGTGTGTGTTAATTTAATGGTATTCAAAACCCCTCAAAACATTTGTCCTTCTGGAGGTTCTTCCTAGTTCCACAGGCTTTTGCTGCATGGAAAAGGTCATGTTGTATGTTCCCGATTAAAAACACTACTTGCTTCACTGTCCATTGTTTCTAAAAGTATATGAGGGCCAGTCTTGATAATGTTAGTACTGCCATAATAATTTTCCTTGCTGGTAAGGGCAAGGACATAAGTTTTCTTAGTCACTCCATTGCAGTGGTGGCTCCTCGTAGTTTAGTTGATGCGTATTCAGTTGGCTGGCTGCTACAGAACTTTCTCAGTCAATACTGTTTCATGGAGTCTCCAAGCGGGATGTTGCTTGTTAAATGAGTGACTGCATTTAAGCCTACTGAGATACCAGCCAAGTTTTCCTGTTAAGTCTCCACACAATAATGATTATTCTATCAGATTCAGATGGAAAAAATTTAATTGTCATAGGTAAAAGTACTTCCCCAGCTTTGCTTCAGTGTTCATACAACTTTGCTGCAGCAGAGTTGCAATCCAAGAGTGCCTTTTAATTAGATTACCGGAGACAATTTAAGAGTTTGCTGCAGCCAAAAGGAAGAGGTTCTATATGCCCTTCCACACTGCCCTGACAGCCATGCCCTCCTGCTACTTAACCTCACACTGGTATTAGCAAAACTTCTCAGGAGGCTGATGTCACACACGGTTCATGCAGAAACCTACTGCCCCTCCTTTCCGTCTCCTTCCATCAATGGTTTTTGGATGCAGTAGCAGTTGAAAAAACTCATGTAAAAGTTGAGGGTGCAAAGGAGAAGCAAGGATTGCATCAACAAATTATGCTTTGAGTATTTTCCTGCATTAGACTGTTTACTCCTCAAACTTTGCCAAATCCCCAACCAACTTCCAAATATTTGCATGCCATCTGTAACAAGTGCATTCAAAAATATCTGAAGTGTTTAGACAATACACTGTAATTTAGCAAGTGTATCAAACACGTACCTCACTTTTAACAAATTATGCTTAAAGTGGCCTCGTTTATTTATGTTGTTGAGCTCTCTGTAACTTGAGTACTTGCTGAACATGAGGATCACAAAAAAGTTCCTAAATTGATACAAATTAATTTATTGTGCACAGCTCCCATATAAAATTAATCTCTGTTGCTGAAAAACAGGCTTTTATGGTCAAGAGTCATGAAGTGTAGAGGTGATGTGTTATCCTCACAATGAATTTTAGTATATTTACACAAATATATGGTGACTGTTTACTGCTGGCATCTTTGGGGTCCCTATCAGAACTGTTTTGGTAATGGTACTGTGTATTTACAAGCAGTTCTGAGGTAAAGGTATATAGTGATTCCAAATTTCAACAAAATCAGCATTTTCTGATCTTATTTCAACCAAATTGAAAACAGTAATTTTTTCCTAGACTTGACACATAATTTTCACCTTAGTCCAGACATGCTGTCTTTGTTTTTCCCTTTATGGAATTTAGACTAGAAAATCCTGAGATTTTAAGAAGAGTTGGGGCCCAAAATGTCTCATGGAAACAGACTACCAATTTTCTGGGTAGGCAAACAACGATATAAATATCGTTATATTTTTAAATTTATTTGTAAGAAAACCATGCAGTTATGTTATTTTTATACACCTTAAAACTCTTGTTCACCAACTGAAATAATGTGTTAAAATGAATCATGAGGCAATAAACCATTAAAAAAAGGGCTTTAAATGGTGCTTTAGATGTGTGCCCTCAGTCACATATCAGGAACGCATATCCGTGGGCACAATACAAATGAGTAAATAGGATACCTGACACTGTGTCCAAGAGGTGCCAGGGCCTGCTCACTCTCTGCTGTGTATCAAAAACTGCAAAGGTCTTTGTGCACTCCTACACCTCAGGAAGGCTGAGAATCTGTAGTCCCCTCATTCTAGGAGACACTGGAAAAAGAGATATAGACTTCATTCACAGCTACCCTGAGCAAATACTTGCAGATTAAATTTATGCCAGCCAAACATAATCCCTTTTAGTTTTCTCAAACCATTCTGATTTTGGAAACTGAGGTGTTACCTCAATTATTTAAGTATATGCACTATTTTTTCAGAATTATTCTGCAAGGAACCTGTGAAACATTCAATTTTAAGTTCTAGTTTTTCTAGCCTCTTAAAACTGTGAAATTATGATATGCTACATCAGACATAGCATTGGAGGTGATACTTTGCTTGAGTAAACACCCTGGAGAGATTGGAAGAAACCTGCTAAATTGGATCTTCTGCCTTTCACTCACTTCTAGATTCACCACGATGCACGGATCATACCCGGCGATTTGTACAAAAACACGCAGAGAGGTATTCAAACAGTACTGTCGGCAGCACGAACACGTTCCCTGAGAGAAAGCGATGCATTGAGGGAAATGCCATTCTCCCCGGGCACCCCCGGCCCGCGGCCTGGCTGGCGGCCCGCCCTCACGCGAGGCAGGGCTCCCCGCCAGCAGCCCCGCGGGGACCCGCCGCCCGCCCCCATCGCGCCATCGCTGGCCCCACGCTTCACTCCTCCACCTGCCCTAGAACGACGGCGCCCTCTCGGTCGCGGCGCCGCCACAACCGGGCGGGGGGAGCGGGCGGCCGCGGCCCCCGCCACCCCCGGGCTGCCGCCTCCCGCCGCCGCCGCCCCAGCCCCCGCCTCCCGCCCGTTGCCAAGGAGCCGCCGTTGCCATGGGAGGCCGCAGGGCGCATGCGCGCACTTGCGGAAGTGCCCGGATGCAGCGGGAGGAGGTGCTGCCGCCATATTTGCCCGGAGAGCAGCGAGCTGGTAGCTCCTGAGTCCCCCAGACCCATCGGCTTCCATCCGCCCCGTGCAGTCCCCGACGCCGCCCCGCCTGCAGGACATGGACGATCGGGAGGACCTCGTCTATCAGGCCAAGTTGGCTGAGCAGGCTGAGCGCTACGATGGTGAGCGCTGGCTAGGAAGGCCGTACAAGGCCAAGGGGAGAGGGAGGGAGGGAGCGGCCACAAAATGGCGGCTGGGCGGGGGAGGGGGGGCAGGGGCGGAGGAGGGGGGCACAGACAAAATGGCGACTGGGAGCGCCCCAAGGGGCTGGTGGAGCTGGGGATGGGGGGCCCGAGCGAGTGGGTGGCTTGGGCCTGGGCGGGGCCCGGTTCGGGGGGCGGTGGCGGTAGAAGCCGGGAATAAAATGGCGGCCGCGAAGGGCGAGTCCCGGGGGGGGCAGGGGAGCCGCCCCCGCCTCGGGGGGCCCGACAAAGAGACCCCACCACCCTTCGTCGTGCCGCTGACTGGCACAGCTTGATGCTCTTCTGTTCGGCTCGGGCCTTGCTTACCTTTGGGCCGGGCCCCGCGGAGCTCGGCGGTGTGGGGCTGAGGTCGGCTCGCCGCAGACAACGCCCAGTGCCGTGCTCTCCGGAAGGTGGGTGCCCGGGTCTTTCGGCCCCTCGGGAGGCGATGCTGGGGAGAGCCTTGCTCGCCGTATTGGGTCCCGGGGGAGGGGGTATGCGCTTTTCTTTCTCTTTCCTTTGCCTTCGGTTGGAGATACTGCTGCCCCTGGCAAACCCAGAGAGAGTGAGCTCTTGCCCTGGAGAGATAGAGTACATGATACTTCATTGCCTAAAGAAAACACGTATGCTTTCATTATGTGGTAGACATTATTACAGATCATTTTACTTTTCCAGCATTGTCTCTTCATCCTTTTTCCTCTATAAGTTTGTGTGCTATGCCTGATCATTTCATATCTGGGTAAAAAGTGGTAGAGGGGAGGAGCTGGCAACCCTGGGTGGTGTCTCTTGCCTCAGAAATGTCTGTCTTGTAAATGTTTCTTTAAACATGTTTCCCTTGCATATAATAGAAAAAGCCTTTAATTTTCTTGTTGATGTTACTTTCCTGGGACTGTTACTTCTGCCCTAAGATCTCATGTTTATTCATTTAAAGTGAAATAAATACCCTTGTATGTAAAAAGTGTGAATGCAGTTACACTTCATTTAGGGGTAGGAAGACACCACGTACTTTCTCTTTGTAATTTTCCTAGGCAACGTGACCAGGTTGTCACCAGATGACACGTGTTTACTGATTTGTGCTTAGAAAGCTTCTGATAGCACTATTGCAAAAGATCTGAAAAATGCATGTTTTGGGGAGGAAAATAGAAACTACAACAAAAAAAGAAGGCCTAAATATGATTCCCTTCTGCAACATGTTCCAGTAAGGAAATAAGGTAGAACTAAGAATTTCACTGAATGAGAGGAGTTGGTCTCCACAATAACTGTAAAGACTTACAGAAAAAATGCCCCCCTGAAAACAGATGTTGGGGTACAACTTAATTGACCTGGATGGAGGGAAGTATTCAGTTCCATATTCTATAGTAAGTGTGCAACTTCTGTTGGGGGTTTTGTTTTTTCAGTATCTTAATGCCTACCCTAAAGGATGTGAGATGGAAAGATGCATTTTCTTTCCCTTGACCCCGAGTCCCAATACCAGCAGCATTCCTGGAGTTGGTTTGGTGAATAGGGAAGAAAGAGTTCTCCACTTGGTGTGGATGAATCAGTGCAACTGGAAGTGTTTGCTTTGGTTAGAGTGGAAACCCAAGTTGGATGCTTGGCCAACATTCTGGAGGATTCATCATCTTTGGGAGCTTTCGAGGCATGACTGTCTTTCTGTGTTTTCTTGTTATTGGTAAATCAGTTCCCTAGAAAGTAATCAGACTCTACCCCAGTGTAGAGATCTGCAATGCAAAACAATTGGACTTCGTGTCAACTAATAAAAATTGATTAGTAGGGATTGCCTTGGTGCAGCATTTCCCTCAGTGGAGCTTCTACCATCCAGTATCTTGGATGATTGCAAAACAAGCTGGATAGATCAAAACGTGAAGGACTTCTTATGCTGTATTGCTTCTGAATGGTAATGAAGCTAGTATCATTTAGGAGGGAGCACTAAACTTAAAGCTGTCATGTTGAAATCAATGCTGTGTTTTCTAGGCTTCCGAAGTTTCTTAGAATCAAGTTGGGTAAACAAATTTAAGGTGCACCCTCTAATTTTGCTAGCTATTCTAAATGCATCTTCGTGTATCTCATGTCTATGTCCTGGAAGAAAATGTACTGTTTATACTGGTTTAGCATCTAATTCTGTATTCTAGTTCAGCTGAAACAATTAAAAATTACTGCCATAATTTGTTTTTGTTTATATAAAATACTTCAGTTCTGCCAAGATCATAGCTGAGACTGATAAATAATTCTATGAACAAAATTGTTTGGGAAGCAGTGTGATGAAAGTGTAAGTTAGTCTTAATTTTGCTCTTTGAGATACTCAGTTTTGCTCTTTGAGGTCACAGTTACTAATTGGCATATATAAAATGATGTAATGGTAAGTAATGTCTACAAATATGTTGAAATACAAATCTCTTGTGTAACTTGAATATGAGCGTGGAATGACAATTTTTTTGTGCTTATTGTTAGGGTAGTGTTAAGTTACGTCCCATCATCTTTCTCCTTGAGAGTTTGAGTGGTTTGTAGTAGGGTTTTTTATGTATGGTTCATGGCATTTATAGTAGCACTTATGGTGGGCATCTAATTGTAGCTTCTTTGATGTTACTTACCTAACCCACTTAGGGAATTTATGAAGTCTTGGAAACTATTTTTAAATTGTTGGAAATGTCCTGTATCTGTACTGTCCCCAGTATTTTGGCCCAGATTAAGGGGACAACTTCCTTGGTACTTCTGCAGTGTAAGTATCACTTAAGCTCTGATCTCTAGAGATACGAAGAGATTTGGGTGTCCGACTATCTTCACAGATCTGCTTAGGCATGTCATGACAAATCACAAAATGCCAGGAAGCTTACTTATAATGCAGGAAGCTTGGTGAGGAATCTCACTTTCTGCTGTTCCTTCAAAGGCTATTATTAATAGAATAATATAACTATAAATTGTATTTAAAAAAACCCCAACAAACACACACAATTGGAGTAGGTAACATTGTGTTGGTTTGTGAAATGATCTTATTAACATTTGAGTTCTTTATGTCAAGAGAGTGTGTGTATCTGGATTCCTGTAGGCTGCTGTTGACTGTCAGAACCAATTCTTCATTGTGGAAACTAGGTAACATCTTTCTTTTAATCAGGTGAGAAACATGCTGTGACACAAGATAGACTGTAAGCAGATACTTAAAGTCTAAGTGGCAGTTTTATACTACAGGTTGTGAAGTATGACTTCACATTTCCATACGGCATAACCTAGGTGAGGTGAAATAGGTATTCTGTTCATGGTGGTTTTGATGTGTGTGTGTGTAGGATTTTTTTTTTTTTGTGTTTTCTCCAAAACCAGATAATAGGTCAGGGTACAGGTAAGAAGAAAAAGGAGGAAAAAACCCAAAACCAAACAAAAAAACCAACCAAACAAACAAACAAAAAAAACACCAAAAAAAAAAAAAAAAGAAAAAAACCCCCAAAACAACAAAAGAGAACAACAGACCTTTTTGACAGCTCTCCTGACTCCCAATACAGTGAGCTAACAGCTGATTCCTGTGTTTTTATAAATTGTCTATCAGGGAAATAGGTCTTTTATTAGGAAGGTGGTGAGGTGTGCTTCAGTGGACTCAATTCAAGATTTGAACCCGTTTTAAAATTCATAATAACGAGTCTTGAATTTACAGCTTAATGAAGAATCAATCAATAAACAGTCACAAATTACAATTTAAGTTGCATATTAATTTCAGTTTGCAGAGGACGGTTCTCTTTCAAGCAAGTGTCAGGCACACTTAAGGTTTTTTTGTCTGTTTGTTTTTCCTTTGCCCAGCATTAATGGTTAGTACTTACACCTGTCTGTCAAAAGTCTTTCTGTTCTAGTGACAGTGGGCTACAGCTGCTCTCTTTTGTCTCTGAATTGGGTAGATGTGAAGGTGCTAAAACACAGAAAAACCTCAGCATATCCTTAAGAAGTACAGGAATCTAAGAGGTAGATAGAAAATGGCCAATACAGGAATCTAAGAGGTAGATAGAAAATGGCCAAGACAATGTTGGAGGAATTAGATTGCTATTTTTTTTTACATGATAATTGTTTACATACTGGGCTATAAAAATTGACTTCTGGTCATGAGGAGTTGTATGAGAGAGTACCTTTTTCTGTAATGACCTTCTTGAATCTCCTGAAGTACCAAGAGTAACCAAAGGAGACAAACCACTACAATTAGATGGTTTGATTTTTTTGCAAGGAAACTGGGTTGGTGTCCATTAGGATACTGGGGTACTTGTATTAGTAGATTACATAGTAGCAGATCTCAGTCAAGCAGAGAAACGGCTGATTAGACTTAGTCTTGAGATTTGCCTATGTCTGCTTTCAAACTGAAATACTTGTTACAAATACTGGAGAAACCCTCTTTTATTTAGAAAAGCATATGTTCACAGCTTGAAGAGATGATAGCAATAGCTTAGAAATCATGTTCTTGTTGTAAGAAAGACTTGGGATAGTCCATAGGATTGATTATGCAGAAAATAGCACCATTACCTGGATAATTTGGCCTTCATCTATCTATTTCTCCAAGTGTGTAGTGTACAAGTATGCTTTGCAGACCTGTATGTTGCAGAGTTGTGTACTTGTACATCGTGGTAAGTGTGGCATGCTCTAGATAGGGAGCTTAAGATTGGAATATCAATTTTTTTGTACCTCAGTAGTTGCACCCTGCTTTTAATTGATTGTAATTTTAATTGATTGTAATAATCTACTTGGGGTGCTTCAAGCACATGAAGACCTTAAACAGAATTTACCCTTACATACTACGTAAGTTTCTGTGATTTTTCTTCATTTTATGCTTTTAGAAACTAAAGGCGCAATGCTGCAAAGCGGGGCGAGCTAATCTGACAACTCATTGTTGAAAGAGGGATGTTCTCTCTTTCCTGGCTGTTTCTCATGTTTTACTTGGGTTCTAGTCTGACCCTTTGAGCCAGTTTGGTTCTCTAAATCATGAGCAAGATTTTTTTTTTTTCCTGAGTAGCTGTTTTCTGAGGTGGTGACCTGAATCAGCCAGTTGAAAGGTCAAAGAAGCATTGAGCTGGCATGACAGAATTGATAGGGATAAAAGTGAAAGCCACCCACCAATCTTTTAAGTATTACTTGCCAAATGCAGGATTTAAGAGAACAGAAAAGCCTAGTGCGGGCAATGCAAATGTGTGTTCAGAGGAAGAGTTCGTAATAGATGAAAAGATAAGCTCTACCTTGTAGCTTGAATCTGGATCTAATCACTGTGGTGAATGGTATGGTGCCCAGTGATGCCAGGTGGAGGCCTATAGTTCTAGATAAAATGCAGTCTGTGGGCATTAATCTTCAGTTACATTCATCACTTAATGGAGAGAATGTTTGCCCCTATTTCTTCAGCTCTTTTTTGTCTTTGTGTTTGTTCTTAGCATTTTGCTGCTACTACTAAGTTAGTACTTACTGTTCCCTTCCATTTTTCTGGATCACTTAGAAATGTTAGCATGCTTCCCAGCACAGATCACTGTGTGATTCCACTGGTGGTCTTTCTCCACTCTGAACACTTGAGTCTTACATTCATACCCTGTTTCCTGTCTTTCAGCCAAGTGTTTATCCATGTGAGGACTTTCCTTCCTATCCCATGGCAGTTGAGTTCCTTAAAGAACCTTGGGTGAGGGACCTTGTCAAATGCCTTTGGGAAATCCAGGTAGACTATATTAATCATGTCTTCCTTGTCCATATGCTTGACTCATTCTAGATTTGTAAGGCATTATTTGCATTTACAGAAGGCCATGCTCGATAGTATAGTATTAATGCATATACCCACTCATTCAGGTTTGGGGTTTTTTTAATTCCTGTTAACTTGACCCATTGTGAGTGTTAGGTTAGTGTTTCTGTAGTTCCCCTTTTGTCTGTTGGAATCCTTCTTGAAAATTGACAGAATATTAGCCACTTTGTATTTGCTACTGCTACTAAACTCTTAACTGAGAGGTTATACACAACAGTTTATCAGATACTTTGTTTTGAGTTCTTGTGACTTGCTACTGATCACCTTTTGTTCATTCCAAGAATAAATAAGTACAAGACTAGTACTGAGTCTTCTCTGAAGACTGGTTATGGTGCACTATCTTTTATGGTGCATGCAGGTGGGAAGGCATGTTTTTCTGCTGTATTCTTTACATTGTCACATCACACTGGATGCTGATTTGCAGCTTTTAGGTCCTGAAATAGATACAGAACAGCAGCTTAGAAGATTGGAAGATCTTGGTCTGCTTTACTCATCTAAGGGGAATCAGAAGGACTAAACTTAAAACACAGCTTCAGTTTTCTGGTGCTGTGCTTCTGCTGCTGTTAACTTCATGGTATTTAAGAATGCCACCTTCTGGGTTTTCCTAAGGTTCATTTTGATTTGAGCCTTCAGTATGATGACCATCAAGTCATCTCCATCCCACCTTTACTCAGCAAACTCTTTCTGTTCTTATTTTAACAAGCTTTCTCACATAAGTAGTTCCTCTTTTGGAAGCTAAGCATGCTACTAGCAGATTTTTCTAGCTCTTGTTTTTCCTGCAGTAATGTTGAACCAGTGTGTGTGGTGGCAAGAGATAGTTACTTCAGCAGTAAGGTTGAGTTAGATTCTGTGTGTAGTTGAAAATCAGGAATGCCCCGTTGTTTGGTATCTAACTAGATGCTTCATAAACAAAACAGTCAGACACTGGCATCATGGTTAGTGAGATAACTACTACAGTACCTGAACTAGAGGCTGTAAATACTGTAGTTTTGCTTCACCAGGTTCTCTTCTTTAGTGTGCCACCCTTTGTTTAGACCTAATGCTTTCTGCTACAAGCACAAACTTTGATAGAACTGCTAGATACTGGCTACTCCTTTGCTATGGTCTACTGTTTCTTAAGTTTGGTATCCTGTATTGGGAAGGTTTTTAGTCTTTCTACCAAATTTGCAGTACATCACCCGTTTCCATATTTTCTTACACAGGGACATTGCAGTTCCCCTGAGTTGCTTGGATTTCTAGAGTTTAAGAAGCAACACATACTTAATTCCTCATCTTTATCTGGTAAAGAGGCATTCATTATTTTGTGACCTAGCAAACTTCTTTATCAGTTTTGTCCCCTTGTACAAATTCTGTGGGTTATCATCTAGTAGATGGTTATCAAACATATACTTCTCAACACTTGTAAACTTCCCCATTAATTTTTAGTTTAGAATGAGGCATAATCTTTCTTTCGTATTAAAAAAAAAAGACCAAGCTGCTTTAAAAAACTTTTGTAGGCAGCATTCAGTGCAGTGGCAGCCACTGTCCAAACCAGTGGCTGGAGGTGAGTCAGCAAAGTTTGCAATGAGGAGCCAAGTGTCTTAATCGCAGTGATAGAATGTAGGAACTTAAAAAATGGCATGGACGTTATTATAGTTTTGCAGTATCTCAGGCAGTTGTTTTGAGTGCCTCTTTTCTATAAGAGTATACAAACCTGATCAGACCAAATGTCTATTTATTGTGGTATTTTTTAGAACAACCAACAGCAGATGTCTGGGGAAGGATATAAATCTGGGACAAGTGTGTCATTTTCCAGAATATTCCCCTATCCTTCCACATTTTACACTTTTGGGATTTCCTGCTCTGATGGTGGAATGATCTGACAGTTGCATAATACAGTGACAGCCACAATCACTTAAAAAGGCTGGAACTTAACCACTTAAACTACAATGTCTGACTTTTTGATTCTGTGTAACATTATGTTTTCCATAATACGGTGTAAGCACCTCCAGACTGTGTATGCAATGAATTGTCATTACTGCAGTAATCCTTGTTACTGAAATGTAATCTGACTTGTATTTTGTCTTGAATTGTCTCTAAGCTTTTCACCTCTTTCTGGAATCTTCCAGATAGGTAAAGATGCACTTAGAATATGAAATATTTGTTCTCTTCGCAGGCATATATGACTTTATTTTTGCATTGAATCAGTTTTCTGTTGGAGAAGATACAGATACACTGTCCTCTTGCTTTTGTATTGCCTGAGTTCTTAAGATTGTTCATCAGGCTTAAACTTTTAGGACTGGATCATGGCTTTACCATGGAAGACCAGGGTATATGCAAATACTATTTTGTCTTATAGAAATACCAGCCCAGACTTTTGTATTGTAAAATTGGTCTCTTTACTGAACTAGAAGCCTTTTTCTCCAAGAGCTTTGTGGGTAGGCTGATAAGTATTTTCTCTTTGGGTAGGACGCTTGTTTATGGGTTGGATTTTAGTATGTGGTTGTGTAGTTATCTAGTAACAGGATTAGGATTTTGAATAGAAGACCTTTCAGTTAGTTTGTCATCAGTGTATTAAGAGAGGCAGTGTACCTGGTATGAAGAGTTGGCGAAGCTTGAGGGTTTTGTGCAAAAATGCACAAATGAAGAAAGGCTCAGGTACTGAACCCCACCCCCCACAATCTTATTCTTGATGGCTATCACATGACAAAAAGTCTGTTTGTCTTAATAACAACTCATGATCATAAAAATCTTGGGATGACAAGGCTTGTTTTCTGGTAGTAGTTACAAGCAGTTGACTGGTTTTCTTGGCACCATTGTTTCCGTGGTTAGAGTTCTACAGGATGATAGTTAATGATATTTGCTGAAGACTGAAGAGATGCAACAGGACTGATGTGTACTAACAGAGGCTGTGCTTATTGGTAGGACTCAAGTGTGTGCCTCTGCAAAAGCTATTGCTCATCTTAAATTTGATTTGTCCTCCAGTGCACGGAGATGTTGGATTTCTGTTTCAGGGACTTGTAGACGCTTAGGCTAGCAATGGATAAAACCCTGCAGAAGTGAAGCAGTTGATTATAATGATATGTTTGAGTGTGTTCTGAGAATCAGATATTAATTTACAGGGAACAGCAAGTCTTGTGTATAGTTTTTTGTGTATTTTTTTTCTTTTAAATTTCCATGTTAGACAGATCTGCTTCTACAGAAGAGATTGTGAAGGAAACCTGTAGTACAGTTGATAAAACTTGCCCATTTTTTTTCCCAGTTGTTGCAATTTCCTGATACAGGCTAGAAGATCTTGGAAACTGTTACTGTACGTGTTTCTCACCTCCACACTTCTGGTGGAAGGATTACAAGTGTGTCGTTTATTATATAAGAGACAAGTGTAAATAGTTTGGGGTTTTCTTACTTCATCAAGAAGCAGATTTTCTAAAGAACTGGTGTAGTACATCCCATAGTATGACTGAAGTGCTTGGTAGTTAAGAATATAAACCCTGTTCTAAAGTGTGATGGTTAGGCTACCATTAGGGTGCACAAGGTTGCAAGTGTAATTGAAAAAGACACCATGTACTACAGAAATGTGCCAGTTCCAGAGAAGGTGTTAGTGTTACTCAGTTTTCTCTGGCTTTTATAACTTCAGAGAAGATCTAATGGGGCAAAGTTAATGCGATCTTGGTTAGTTACTCTTGCCACACATCTAACACCATGTGTGTTTGATTAAAGTGTAATGGTCATACTGGATCAGACCAAAGATCTTCAGACTGATGGTAGATGTCTGGGAGCAAACATAGATTAGTATGGCATGACTACCCCCTCCTTTGTATTTGCATACAGGATATCTCTTCAGCTGATGAACTTCTACAATGGATGGTCGGAGGGAGGGCTGTGCATTCACAAATACAGGTTAATTTCTTAAACTGCAGATGTAGGACAGTTTCAGTTACTCCTCTTATCTGAGGTCAGTTAAACATCAAGCTTAAAGACAAACCCTGTGTTTTTTGCAGGAGCCTGGCAAAGGTACCCAAGCTGCAGAGACTGCAAGTGTTAATTCCAGTTTGTCATCTTTGTTCACAAAAATTGTCAGGCATGTTATCTTGGGTGTAGTTCTGCTGTTTTAAGAAACTTCAAAATACTTCCATAATTTAAAAAATTTATAGCTTGGAAGTGAATTCTTTGTATGGATGGTAGCATCATCTTTCAGGAAATAAACCCTAGTGCTTGCATTATGTAAGTAGCGTATTGTAACTATATCATATTGCCTTTAACTTGTTTAAATTATGAGACTGTGTACTTATGGTTATTACTAACTGTAGGTATATGGAGTGTTAGGGCAACTTTTGAAGTCTTCAGGAAAAAGAGTTCACCATTTTGCAATAGTATGGTGGTGTTTTGTAAAAGTTCTATCAAATTCTGGGTGGATTTTTTTTTACTTTCTGTGATTGGGAGAAGCAAAATCTACTGGTAGAGGTAGGGATTTTTTCCCCACTTCCTGTAAGAATAGAGCCACTATAAAATTTTGTCCTACACTTGTGGAGGAGGCCTGTTGGAGACTGATAACATTGTTCCTGCCAGGGAAAAAGATTGAGCCTACAGTTTCCATTGCTGAAATAGCTTGTGCCTGTTAAGACTCTGAGTTTTGGCACCTGAGGAAAAAACTAACAGTTAAGCTTCATTAGTTTCCCATTGCATGTGCTGCCATGACACAGCAGAACACAGGGAGGTAAAGTGATGGGGGAGGGATGACGAGTGGCCAAAGTAAATAGGCCACAGAACAGTAAAGCATCATATTATGGGATCTAATCACATCCTTGTGCTTTTGGCAGAAGCTAAATACGTCATTCTAGTGTCTTTCTACCTGGCAGGTGTGAAACAGTTGTCCTGCTGAATAGATGGGATAGTTGGGGCTTAGTCTTATTCATTAATGGTCTTGTTTTCTGTCTGGGGGATTCCTACCAGTTCTAGAACGCTGGAAGATACATGGTGAATGAACTGAAGCAGTGTGTGACAGGGCAAAACCTGTGATTCCTGGATGTCTCATATTAGGCTCTTAATTTAATATTTTTGGCTTTTATTTTCCTAATATGTCACAAGCAATCACAATGTGGTTAGATAATGAAAGGATTATAACCTTCCTTAAGCAGTTCAAGCTTTTGCTTCCACTTGAGTATAGGGAAGCTATATTTAGTAATAATTGTTTTAACCTCGGGTTTAGAAGTCCTTCTCAAAAGGTTTAAACTGCAAATAACTAATTTATATTTTGTGTGTTACTTTTCAGTGTAAATAGCTGTTTGGCATGGATAGATATGGTTGCTCTGGGTATTCTCAGGATGACTTGTTACTTCTTCAAGCATCTAATTTTTCTTTTGATGGTTTCCTCTTGGAACTTTGTCTTGCTTCCCTAATAACAGTGCTCATACTTCTCTACATATGTTCAAATCTGGATTTTATTTTTTTGTTAATTACCATGTTACACTATTTCAGTTGACAAATCAGTGGAGCATTGTGTAATTCTTCAGTTTATCCTTAATGTGCAGAAAGCTAGCTTACATTTGCTCATGCTTTTCTCACTATTCAGTGCCTTTTCCGAAGCACACTGAAGAACATGCATTCCTGTAGGATTGTACTGATAACTGTTATCCACTGTGAAAAATGTACTTTCTGCTAGTGCTAAATGTTTTTGTCTCAAAAAACCCTTGTCTTTTAAAATTTTTTTTTTTGGGACCCTTGTCAAATACATTTAAAAGAACATCAGATACCTCCTTTGTGTACATGCTTATTGGTTTGTTTGGAACACTACAGTATAAAAGTCAGGAATAACTGTATGAAAGGAGGAGGGAGCCTATTTTGATAAGCTATCATTAACATACAACTTCTGGTGAATGGTAGGAAAGACGCGTTAGCTATGAGAATAATGGTCTGACCTTTTCCTCCTAGAAATGGTTGAATCAATGAAGAAAGTGGCTGGAATGGATGTGGAGTTGACAGTGGAAGAAAGAAACCTGCTTTCTGTTGCATATAAAAATGTGATTGGAGCCAGAAGAGCTTCCTGGAGAATAATCAGCAGCATTGAACAGAAAGAAGAAAACAAAGGTGGAGAAGATAAATTAAAAATGATTCGGGAATATCGGCAAATGGTAAGATGTAGTTGGTGTTATGGCATAATGCTATTTAGTTAAGGTCTGGTTTTGTTATCCTTGCCATAAACTGTCCTGGTATTCTAGATCGCCTGCGGTGTGGTGATCTGTAATAAGGTGACAGTCTTGAAAGGATGAAGTTTCTTCCTTGTCTGAAGAATAAATATACTTGAAGAGCAGTGGTTGAGTGTTTTTGTGTAAACACTCAAAAGGACAGTAGATTCAAAGGAGGAAGGGAGGGCTTTTCCTTCAGTGCATCTTTATATCTACTAAGTATTTGAACTGTGCTGGTGGCTTGTTTTTTCCCTACTTAAGTGTGAGGCTGCATGTCCTCAGGAGGCCTTACTCTTTTTCCTCCAACATGACTTGCCACAAGCAGCTTTTTTTTGGGAGAATGAACCATGTCAAAGGAGGTGTTTGGCTGTTAAGCTTTTATTTCTGATAAAAGTTGCTTTGGATCATGCAGACTTTGACCCTTGGTGCTATTGCAGTACTCTGTCCTATGGACTTCAAAATACTAACACTAGTTGAAATGCCAATGGGGAAAGATCTTCAGTGTTGTTCTTGGCATAAAGACAGGCAGCGTAAAGCCAAATGGCCCCTTTCTTTGACTCCTTTACCTTGTCTTTTATCACTGTGATAGTTACATTTCATGTACGCTGGCCTTGTTTTGTACTTTTTCCCCCCAGATGAAGACTTGGCAGGAGTAGCTGTGTAAACTAAGTGCTTAGCAGTTGGGTGACAGTGAGGAATAGTTGCCTGGTTAGTCTGATACAATAGAACTGTTAGACCTATTATTAGCTCAGTCAGCTATGCCTGTGTTGAAATGAGTGCTGAGATAGTATGGCTTCTCCGACAGCATCTAGTTCTAAAAAATGTAGATTTTAAATTTTTCTTTCGTTGTCCCTAAGCTGGTCGGTTACACCGATAGCAGCTCAAGCAATCAATTTGAGATAAAGCACTCCCATGCTGCAGGGGATGTTAAGATGTCATGGTCATCTCAACTGTGAAATTTGTGTGTGTAATAACCTCTAGGGTCTTGTTATTTTCTCTTGGAGAGGGAGAAATTGATGCACAAACTTCATGCTGAGCCTAGTCAGTCTCTGCAACTTTACCTAAAATGGAGAACTTGAAGCAAGCTTTGACTTTCATCGGTAAGGGCTAATGAAACCTTCAGCTATTAGAACAGTGAGTGGCTGTTCTGACCCTTCCCTCTCTTCCTTAAATGATGGTTTAGCATGGAGCAGGCATGCTCCCATACTATTTAAATCACACACATTTCTGCAGAGACTTTATCTCCATTATTTGAGGACAAGTGCCTCCACATGGTTCAGATCTTCCCTTCCAGAGAAACAGTGGAGTCTATTATATCACCTGGCACTGATTCATATACCACCAATGGAAAAGATGTTGGCTTGGAAATCTTTTCTCAGGAATGGGTCTGGACTACATTCTGTTGACTCACAGCATTTCTGTTACTTCATGGAATTGTTAAATTTGTGAGTTTCTAATTTTATGCTGGCATGCTGATGGGATGAGGCTCTGCCAGTTACATACAGTCCCAAATACCATTTCTTGATGGTTCTAACAGAACATATAAGACAATAGCAATCTGATGATTGTTTAAATTTTTCTTGTACTATGTGCTTTCAGTTTGTTTTTTAACAATATTTTGTGGGTGGTTACTATCTTCTGCTGAAGATTCTTTAATAGTAAAAAGACTTTTTTCTTGTTTTTGAAAGGATCATAAAAAAGGCATTGCTCTGCATCTCTCTGTAAAGAGAGCAAGTACCATGCAGAACAGACTGGTGTGCAAGAAGTATATGTATGTAGTCCTTGAAGTATCTGTTGAGAGGGCGACGCTACATGGAGTGCACTGCCATGCCAATGGTATCTTCAGCTGTTAAATCCTTAAAGAAAAGTTGCTTTAGGTGGAAGAACGCTGTGGAGAACTGTAGGTCCATACTGGAGAACGATTAGCTGAGTCTCCTCAACTCTAGCCTGAGTTTTCCAAGAGTCTTCTATGTATCCTCTGTAGCTGAAGACTAGATTCCTCTTTGTAGCTGCTGGGAGGCTTCCTGTGGGTTAGCACCTGCTATAAGGGGAGTGTTAATGGGTTTGGCAAGATGGCATGGGAGCAGTGAGGGCCTGAAGAACATACTGCAAAGGTTTGGATGATGGTTTTCACTGTTGCTGCTGGAACAGTGGCACAGCCACCTTGTTGTCATGCTCACTGCTTCTCTGAAGAGATAAGGTCCAGTGCAGGATCAGCAGAGTTCTGGTTATTATGCTTACTTTGTCAACAAATACCACTATTGTAGCATTTTTCAGAGCAAGTTAAGTGTTGTTGGGAGAACCTTCCCAGGCTTGAAAGGCTCTGAAGAAGGGGGGAAAAAAACCCAACCAACAAACAACAACAACAAAACCAACCCCAACAACAAACAAACAAACAAAAAAAAACCCAAACAAAAAACCCCCCACAAAACAAAACACTTGTTTGGGGACTGATGGGCCAAGTTTAAAGCACTGGAGAGTTGGAGAGAACCACCATTTCTAGAAAAACACATCTCTCGCCTACCACCAGAACCACGTGTAACCTTGCTCAGCTGTAGAGTGCTGCTCGAGTTGAAATGTAAGGAGTAGTTTGTGTGGAAGTAATTATTTGATGGTTTTCGTCTACATCAGTATTTATTATAATTTAGCACATGACTCTGGCTAGTAGCTCAAACTCCAAACATTTTTCAGTGTGACTTGGGACAGAACTTCAAGTGATGGTGGTGGTGTCAGCGTAGGGCCGGGCTGGTTTTGTCTGAGGCATACACTAGTCAGTGATGAGAGATGATGGAAGACACCAGGCTGTGCCTTTACCCAAAACACTTAAGATGAATGTAGCAAAACATATACATAGCAATGGGGGAAAATGCCACTTACTTGTTTCCTTTGTAGGCTGCTTTTCTGGGTCCTGTGGCCATTTGGATACACAAAAGTAGGGCCCCTGGCTTTCTCATCTGACTGCATCTCTGTAGATGAGAACACGCTGAGGCTTGCGTTCTTCGTCCTTGAGAGGATGAAGTGGTGCGTGTCTGCACATAGTGCAGTTCACTTCGTTGTGGTAAAACCAAATCCCTTCCCTAATGGTGTAGGACAAGCATTCACCTTCCTCCTACTGGTCTGTATTTGTGGCATGTGAGAATGTGTGTTTCTGGGGCAGCTGCAAGGCTCTTTTCCTTCCCCTCTTCTTAGAAAGGTTAGGCTGTGAATTGGCGTAAATGTGGATGGTCAGTCTGTTTTGGCAGAGGTGAAAAGGAGGGGGGTTACAGGCTTTAGCAACTGTTTCCTACTGTTCTAGTTTCATGTTGCATCTCAGTTGTGAGGTGCAGCTATTTTGGGGGCTACGTATTAAAACATGTCAACTAGTACAGGCTACCTTTCCCCTCTTTGCTTCTAATAAGTTTCTGTATTTAGATCACTAGGTGGTTTACAAGCTTTTGTATCTGCAGGGCTAAGAACACAGTCTGGAATCTGATTAAGCCAGCACTACCAGTAAAATTGAGAGAGTCAGGGTGGGTTGTGGGGGGCTTCTACACACCCACTGGGGTCTGCAGTCTTCCCTTGCTGGGCAGACCCTGTAGTACCACGTTGTCCCATTTGGAGCTTGAATGGTTATAAACTCTAAACCTACCTTTCCGACTGCTCTGAACAGGCTTAGTGTGGGCTCTTGTGCTGGTTTGCTGCCTTACAGAGCTCATTGAGCCACTCTTATAAAAAGGATCTGTTCTAGACAAAGAGCTTTTAGGGTTTTGTTGTGGGTTTTTTGTTTTGTTCTTAATCAACTTGATTTGTATTAAATCTTTTTAAACTAAGCTTGGTCAGGACATTTACATTGCCCTGGACAGCAACTGATCTCCTATAACTTGTGTGACTGAGCCTTTAAGCAAAGCTGAAAAAGGTCTGTCTGAGATGAAATAGAAGTTTGTACATGTATGGTTATTTAACAAAAGAGGATTAGAAACTGATTTAATTCTTTGCAGTTTTGCTGAAGATCTCTCTGCAAAAGAAGTCATTGAAAAAGAGGATCAAGAGGAAAGAAGTTTGCAGGAACTGACTGCTGGCCAAAGGTTTTATAGCTTTTGTAGCCCAAGAATATATGAAGTAGATTCTTCTCAAGTGACCATATTTCAGCAACTTCCTTAAGCATTTGTCACATCACTTTAAGTACAGCATCTGAGACTTCCTCTGAATGTTAGGGCATTCTAACATTGTTTATACATGAAATTTGATGTAGATTAATTTTTCTGAAGGAACTTTTGCAAATCTATTAAGTCACCTTTTTACAAAACAGTATAAATATGTGTCAGTTTAACATTTATTTTGGATCTATAATTTTAACAGCTTTTGAGGACGGAAGTTATGCTTACAAACTCTAATAGTTTGGGAGCTGTATGGTGATAAAAATGCTACACGACAAGAAAAATGCTTAAAGAAAGAAGGAAAGAAAACTGCATGGGTGGGAGGATAGGAAGGGATGGTGGACTAAGTGGGACTGCTCTTGTGATTCAAGACACGTTGTTTCTTGAAACTGATGCTGATGCCTTTGCTTGAAAACATAGTACGTAAAAGGAGCTTGAGCCAGAGTTGTCTTCAGCTGTAGCTATGGAAGTTACTGAGAAACCATGAAAGAGCAGCAATATGTTACTGTATGCACTTAACCAACCACTTCTACTGTGAATGACACGGGATGCTCGGAGCAAGTCTGGTTTTGGCAGTGGTGCTGCCAAAAGACATTTTTAGCTTTTTTTGGTATGCTTAGTCTCTTGTTTTCAGGTGTGAAACTTTCTGTGGTAAAACCTAATCTCCTAGACATTGCTTTATATTCTAAATTAGAAAAACCGAAGATAATATGACCATGTTTTCAACTTTGGCTATTAAAATCCAATATCTGTTTTTAAGTAAGGCTTTCTGTATTGGTTTTCTTTGGCCACAGATCTCACTGTTAGTGTTGATTTCTGTTTTTTCTCTGAGTTGCTGCGCTTTGCCTTTTTTGCCTTCTTCTGAAACCTGTATCTTTTGGAGTTTGTTTTCCTCTTGTATCTGACCTTTTTTGCTTGGCACATCTTTATCCTGTTCTGATATGCCTGATTTTTGTCTTACGACTCTTCTGTTAGAGCTTTGCCTCCCAAGTAGTCACTAGAAACTTGTTCTGAAGGTGGCATTTGACTCTGGGAGTTTAGCTGATTTATATTAGTCAAATTGTCCCCTTCACCATTGCCATTTCTAGGGCAGCTTTCCAGGACTAAAAATGTAAGGAACTGGGAGTTGTGCAAGCCTTGCAGTAAGGAATTATATCCTGAGACAAACTTAATCCAGCTGTCTAGCAAGATGTCTTCCAGGGAATTTATAATTCCGTTATTCAGTTACGCATTTCATCATATATCAGTCCTTGCCTATTTTGTTTGCCAGGTAATTATGCAGAACTGTTTTGCTTAATGTAACTGTGGAGCAGCAGTATTTATTTTTTTTTTCCCTTCTGTCTTCTCCCTATTTGGATTTTTGTTGCCTGTTTGATACTTGGATATTTTTGAAATAGCTCTTAGTCTTGTATGCTAACCTCATTTCTTCTTTTCATTTTGGATTTTTGTTTTGGTTTTTTAATAGGTTGAGACTGAACTGAAGTTAATCTGTTGTGACATTCTGGATGTACTGGACAAACACCTCATTCCAGCAGCTAACACTGGCGAGTCCAAGGTTTTCTATTACAAAATGTAAGTATTTTTTTGAGACAAGGACATCTTACTGTATCTGGACAAGAGACAGAAATAAAGTAGCTATACATGAGGTTTCTGCCCATTCAACCACCGTAACTTCTTCTAGAAAGAGGGTAATTTCAGTCATGTCTAACCAATATCCCTTTCTGGCTACCTTTTAAGGTGTTAGTGTCCTGATTGTGTGGTTTTGAATTGAGTTGTTTGGAATGAGGTCATGAGAACTGAACATGCTGTTTTGCAGCCCTTAGATGTAAGAAATAACCATTTTCTTTCATTGAGCTGATAATATAAACATGATATCCCTGCTTCAGTGTGTACCAGAGCTGTACATTTCCTCACAAAGAGAAGAAAATTAGGTAGTTGGATAACTGTCATGTAGTGTCAACTTCAAAATTGCATTATCAAGTGAAACTTGGCCTTGGGGTATGTTGCTGTAGTCACTAGTTTGATGCATATTTAGTACTTTCTGAAGCATATTTTAAATCTTGACGTGATCGTTGGTTTTCCCTGTAGTTGAATTATCTCTGTCCTTCAGATCAAAAACTGGTCTGGTTCAGATAAGATGCATTTGTACAGAGACGGAGTTTGGTAATGGAGGAGGTAATACTGTGACTTCATGTACTAATGCAAGAGTAAGTGAACCTGAACATTTTTCTGCCTGATGGTCTGGTTTAAAATTTGCTCAAGTACTCATGCACTGTTGTCTAGCCAGTAACTCAGCAGCAGCATTGTTTCTGTGTGAATATATGAACATCAGTTTCAGAGCTAAGCTGTTAATTTAGAGACTGGTGCGGAAATAAGGACTGCTGACTTTGTATCGCTTCTGTTTCCAGGAAGGGGGACTACCATAGGTATCTGGCTGAGTTTGCCACAGGAAATGACAGGAAGGAGGCTGCAGAGAATAGCTTGGTGGCTTACAAAGCTGCTAGTGATATTGCAATGACAGAACTCCCGCCAACACATCCTATCCGCTTAGGACTTGCGCTCAACTTTTCTGTATTCTACTATGAAATTCTTAATTCTCCTGATCGTGCCTGCAGGTAGGTACTGACTGGGAAGATGGGGAAATCTTACATGAATACCACACAAGCCAGCAATGGATGCTACTTGAGTAACTACTTTTCTTCTTTGGGAACACTGGACTGGCTTCCTGCTGTAGTTGATGACTTGCTCTGTTTGAGGTCAATTAATTGGAAAGGTCTTCACCTTTGCCATTTTCTTTTCAGTCCAGATCTATTTGTTTATCTGGGAGTAGATCATGTATGAGAGGCAGAATAGTGTTAGCCTTGGATTGATCAACTCATGGCAGTTTAACAGCTTGCCGTGTTAACTCTGTGCATGCCCTTATCCTGCAAAAAGCGTGAGGTGATTTAACTTGCCTCTCTTGCTGTTGGCTATTATACAACATAAGAGGGATCGTGTTACTAATTTCTGTGAACTGTGAGCATGTGTAGAATGACAATAGCTCATCTATCTGTAGGGATTCATCTCATAGGAGCATAAAAGTGATGATTGAAGCAGATGCCTAGTCTTTTATTCCTGTCACTGTAGGCTATTGTAATACACTTTCTTTGAAGCTTTTAGCAGACCTTGATCAGTTGTACCACAAAATGTAGAAGTGTTTAATAAAATGAGTGTTCTTGAGTAAAAAGATTCTTAAGCACAAAGTGACTGGTTTTAAAGATGGGAGATATTTGGATGAACATCTAAACACTGTTAAATAATAGAAAAATGTGTTACAGAAGCTATGGATGTCATGTAGCCAAACTAGAAGATAGATGTTCTGAGGCACAAGTTTGACCTGTGTGCTTCTGCCTTCTGTTTAACAATGTATGTGTTAGAACTGATCTATTCTGTGTTTATAGGTTGGCAAAAGCAGCTTTCGATGATGCTATTGCAGAACTGGATACACTGAGTGAAGAAAGCTATAAGGACTCTACACTTATCATGCAGTTGTTACGTGATAATCTGACACTATGGACTTCAGACATGCAGGGTGATGGTAAGTAAACTCTGCTCTAAAATGCTGCTGTCCCCTGACCTCTGCCTAGAAAACAGAGCATGGAAATGTAGATTGGTTTGGTGTTTTACTTGTGTCTTTCCTAGTAATTGACCCTCCTGAACTTCTGTCCTTTCTTAACACTTGCTAACTTGATGGGGTGACACTAGCTTCTTTTGAGCAGCTTTTCAGCTCTCACTTAAGGGAAGGAGGTGTGGAATTAGCAACAACTTATTTTTTTTTTCCTCCCCACCTGGCTGTTAGGCATCTGTGATTATTTTAAAAGCAGTGACTTCATTTAATTCAGCTTTTTTTTTTTATGGCTTGCCATGCTGACCTGTGGTTGACATTCCAACCAGATGTGACTTACCAGTGCAGGAGGAAGTATTGCAAATGATCTAGTTTCCCTTTTTTTCAGGTCACACAATATTTCTATTGGCATTTTAGTGGAAGATTTACAGCCATCATACTAATCACTTCACCTTTCAGCACTTTTCATATCTTTTACTGTTCTTATGAAGAATTGAATACAAAGAGAAAAGGAGAAAGGAAAAGGGATTTTGCAAAATACTTTGTTACGGGGCCGGGGGGGGGGGGAAAGCAGAGCTTGGGAGAAATCTGATTTGCTGTTTTGAGATGTTTGAAGTACTTGATACTCCCCAAAATGCTAGGTTGTGAATCCTGAAGTGGGCTATTGCCAGAGCGAATACTGAATATATCTGCTGACAGTACCAGAGGGTGGGATATTGTGTGCTTGTATTTATTAGCATCTGATATTTTTAAGTGTTTTTCTAGCATACTGAATGGACTTTTTCCTCTTACACTTTCACATACAATACTAAGTATAAATTTACTCTTGCTTAGTTTTCTTGAGTTACGCCTTCTGTTTCACTGATTATGGGTGATGAATTAAACGTAATACCTATCTAGAAAGATTACTCATGTTTTCTGCAGTTACATCCTGGAGAGACAAGTGGAAAGAGCTAAGTTTCTTCTAACTTGGAGGGGTGCAAGGAAAAGTCAGTCCTGTTTAAAGTATGTTAGCTACTTGGAAGTGCACAGAGGTTGGAAACAACATTGGTGCTTAATTTCAGATAAATAGTGTCTTAAATTTTTTTATAAGATGTTACTTCAAGCGTGGTGATTGCTGTATAGCATTCCTTTGGAGTACTTTATTGGTGTAGTGCCCATTTGAAAGCAATTGTAGAATATATAACTTTTTACAGACTACTTCGTTTCATGTAGGATCGATGGCTTTGTTTTAAAAAAGTATTGTTACTTGATAGCTTCTAGCTGTTGGTACAGATTATGAGTATTGAGTGTTGCAGGTAACATTTTACCCCTATTTCTTTGGGCTTTTGGCAGAACTGGGAAAACTGTAAATGTGCAGTGTTACCCCACATCCTAGTGCTTGAGTCTCTTGCAAGGGACCGTGCCTTGCTTTGAGATGTAAGATTATCTGTGGCACAGAAGCGTATGTACGTATCCTGGATGGATCTGTACAGACTGTTCTAAATTCTGCAGGTATTATTAGATGCCTGCCTTGCTGTGATTAGGCATTGGAAAAAGAAATTTGTTCTCAATTCCCACAACTAAGATAGGACCTTTATTTTATTTTTTTTTTAATGGAGCCAAATATCCTGGTCCTATGTGGGAACACTGAGGACGCCATTTCAGTCAAGTAACAAGGCTGGATTGCTGTTGCGAGATAGTAGCATTAGAACATCATCCAATTGCATGCAAGCTGACTAATGTTTCTCATGTATCTCATATCGTAGAAGTTCAACAAGATTATCTACAGAGGCTCTTTATATTTCTTTTTGCATAATCTAGATTTAAATTTCTTGTTGCATGATTAATTCCATAGTATAGAAAATAGATATATTTGTTCTTCCTGAAGTATTTCATGTTATCCTAATATACAGTTTGATGATTGCCTGAAAGATAATGACTACAAAATTTAAAATACTGCTGAACTACTTAAAATCATGGTGCAGTTCTTCAGAGCCACAAAAAATTCGATGTTTATGTGTAATATTTAGACACAGGTGCAAAGCTAAGTTTGCTCATTTCCTCATGCCATGCTAATACGCTGACTGAGTGCATTTAAAACTGTTGCTTCCAGAACTCTAATTCCAAATGGGTAGAGCCTTTGAAGATTGGTAAAACTTAATAGTGGCACTGGGCACTGAGAAAGATCATGACAATTACCAGTTTTCTAAGGGATGGGGCAGACCTGAAAAAAGCTTGTTCTTTTGCGTTAAGTTTTCGTCTGCTTTGATTTCGGTTGTGTAGGTTGTAGGGAATGACTTTCTAAAATCAGGTGTTACTCAGCTGGCTGTGCTTTTCCATCTCATTTACTGTATCTTTTAACTATGTCATAGATGAGCTGTTCAGTTTATTTTCACGCTTGTAATGTCGTCTTCATGATTCCTGTTTTCCCCTTCTTTCCTGCTGTATAGATTCCTAAAGGAAAGTCCAACTGTTCATTTCCTAAAAAATCTACTTTGTAAGTCTTCGTCATAGCTGAATGAACTTTTCAGCGTCAGTTTTCTTCCAATCACTAATGGTGCTTGCTTCTGTCACTCTCTTGCTGCTGATAAATTGCTTGTATCTTTGACTCCATTCCAGGGCTAAACCATGTTCTACCAATCTGTGTGACCTGTTACCCCTACCCAGGTCCAATATGCCTGACTAAGATCCAAAGTCACTTACATGTTTGGGAATTGAGCTGCATACCTGGATGGATATTAAGAATATCTGGGCATGAAAAGTATTTTCACAGTCGCCTGTTACAGGAATATTTGCTTAAGTGTGGTGGCTAGAGCATGCTCAGATCTTTTAATCATCTTACTGGGTTAGGGCCTCTGCTTTCCTCTTTAAATGATCTGTTATGTAATTTTAAATGTAAATGTTATTGTTGTTGAATGTCAAATGTCCTGTGTTCCTAGGCAGCCTCTTCCAAAATCTACCTTGTATTGTACCTGGTGATAATTCTGAATCTGGACATGCTCTGAGCAGGCATTCTGATTATATGCTGAAAGTCATTAGTCTCATTTGATTGGATTTTATTGCAAATTAATTTTTTGAATAGGTACTTCATTGCTCTTAAGAGAGTACCATCTCACATGGTTAAGCACAATTGTAAAGAAAACATTTTCCAGTTTTTCTTATCAATTAATTTAATTGTGCATGTGTTACAGCACTAGCTGAAGTACTTTAAACTTTCTTTTGTTGCACTGGAAACTGGGCAAAGACCTGCAGATGGCAATTGCATGCGTCTGACCCAGGGGCAGCTGAAGTATAACCAAACGCTTACTGCAGGAGTCTTGATGGAGAGACTTCCATTTCACTGCATGTTGCAGCCTGGTTGAATAGGTCCAGACTGGCAGTTTTTCAAGAGAAATCAATTTCTACAAAATGTTTCCTTTAATAACCTCAAGGCGAGTCTTTCTTGTCATGTTGGAATTGAAGTAGGGATGTTTTTCCATACTGCTTTTGGTACCTTTAATAATACATGCCATCAGTGTTGGTTTATAAAATTGCAGTACTTTTGCTGTTGTTGGGACTTGAGTGGACTTGGACAGATAAAAGCTTAATTTCTAAAACCTGTTTTGGTCTAATTTCTGTAGCTAGCAAATAGATGTCCTTAGTGCTCTCTGGAGTAGGAATGAGGGTTTTGGGGGAAGGTATTTTCTGATCTACAGCCAGTTGGATTACTTTTGTCTTGGCTGTTCATTTCTTGATCAACAGGACTGATCCCATGTTCAGTCTCAGTTTTCAGAAGTGGTGGTTTGTTGTTTGTCCTTACGACAGAGTACGTCTTCTAATAGCCTGTGCTACAGTTCTGTATGAAATGGGAGGTGATTATAAGGCTTAATTTCCATGGAAACGCTTCACTCCAGAACTGGCTGTGTTATGAGTGTGTGCGTGTGTGTCATTTATGCAAGTGTGCAAGTGAGTGTGTGTACTTGCATGAAACTATTAATCTCTAGATGCTTGTTAAGCCATTCTGCAGGTCTCAGTTTTAAAAGTTAATGTCTTCCTTGCTTTTAAACACTTACAGGTGAAGAACAGAATAAAGAAGCGCTGCAGGATGTGGAAGATGAAAACCAGTGAGACACAAAGGCCAACAAGAGAACCCATCTCTGACCACCCTTCCCCTTCCCCACAAAAACCCTCAGTGTCACTCTGAGAACCACCAAATCTGACTTTTACATTGGGTCTCAGAATTTAGGTTCCTGCCCTGTTGGGTTTCTTTATTTTTATTTTTTTTACACAGTTTAAAAGTTCTTAAAGGCAAGAGTGAATTTCTGTGGATTTTACTGGTGCCAGCTTTTAGGTTCTTTTAAGACACTAACAGGACTGCGTAAAGGCTCTTTCAGCATTACTGTATTGTCTCCTGCCAGACGTGGCGAGATTGCCATTAGAAGTGGATGTTACACCTGAAGGCCGCTAGACTTGTAGGGGAGAGATTTGTTATGGCGAGGTAGTGCGCATGTGGTGGCATTTTTCTTTTTTTTTTTTTTTTTATTATAACTGTTTAAACTGAATTTTATACCAATGTTTAAACTTAATTGGGTGTTTAGCTTGAAGTTACAGGTTGCATTGGGACATATATTGTAGTGGTTTTACTGTATAAAAACAGAAGTTTCCAAACTGCTGAAATGTTGCTGAAAATCGTGGTGCTGGTAACAGTTCAACAATCCGTGGCTGCTCATTCTTGCCTATTCTTTACTTTTCCTCAAAGCAGGTTAGCATTGAAGGTGGCATTGATAAGCCTGCATGCGTGTTCAATATTTTTTCTTTCTCCCTCCCCTTTCCCCATCTCCCTTCGCTCGCTCAACCTCTTTTGTTCAGTATGTGTAACTTGAAGCTAATTTGTACTACTGGATATCTGACTGGAGCCACAGATACAGAATCTGTATTGTTCTTACTGAAACACAGCATGGAATTAACATTAAACTTAAATAAAACAAACCTAAATTAAAAATGCCAAATACTACTATGACTTTCCTTTATGTTAGTTATTTCAGAAAAAATAACTCTCCTCTGTTGCTTGCAATAGGAACGTTTGGCAGGGGAGAGAGAGAAGTGACAGCATTCTTCTTCAGACATGAGATAAAGTAAGATCCCAGTCTTACATGTAAGTAGTGTAGCTGTGAGACCAGCCTGCTCTGCAGCAGGGGTCAGCAGCTTTTCCACACCATTTATTCAGTCTTTCCCTAGCTGAATGCATAAAACTGCATCATTTGGTTGGTGCATTGCTCTCACTTGCCCTTACAGAACTCTTCCTCCAGTCCTGCTACATGGATGGAGAGAAGGGAACCACATTATCTTAATGTCCATCCTGCTTAGCTGATGTCCTAGAAACCTCTTTCTAGGAATAACCTGTTCCTGTAGCAGACAGTAGCAGGGCTGCCCTCTGTGTAGACAGATTGGGCCCAAGAAGCAAAGAGATTCAGTGGTGCTCTGTGACAGATGAGGGGAAAACAAAAACCATACCCTCCCTCTCAAAAAAAAAAAAAAAAAAAAAAAAAGCAATGTGGTGAAACCATTTCTACAACAAAGACAAGGTGTGGCTTTTTTGTAAAAATTTATTTAGCGTAGTCTTGAGGTTATATAATAGCGTATACAGCATTGTATAGTATATACACTCTAGCATATACAGTGGTATGGTGTATATGTACTACAGTGTATACAGCATTCCAGGCCTGGGGCAGTGCTTGGAAACCGCATAATGTCAGAAACCAGAAAGTGGGAGACTGAGCCGATCGTATGTGAGTGGCAACATGTTTGGTTATATTTTATTCAGGGCTTACTGAAACTGTTGTTGCTACTGCGTCAGGCTAGAGGTGGAACGTGAAGGACGTCTAAGGCATGTAGAGTGCAAAATGCACTGTTGGACATCTAGAACTTGGAAGCTGGAGCTGTGACTTGCAGTCAGCAGGTGTTTGACAAAGAGCTCTTCACCCTGTAGCCATTTGGGTTCTTGGTTAAATGCAGGTGCTTAGCATTGACCTCTGTTGCAGTTAGCATTGAGAGCATGTATTCCTCCTAGCTCTGGGTTAGCACTGGAGTGATGCAGCTTGCTTAGGAAGTTGCTTCCAGGTGAAGGAGCTGTTGGTCAGTAATGCCAGCAGTGCTGAACTAGCCCTCTCTTCCTCTTTAAGGCAGTACTGAGAGGCGTTTATAGCAACATTGTGGAGCTTTTTTGTGGGAACTTGAACTTCCAGTTATCACTAAAAACAGAAGGAAAAGCTCTGAGCCTGGTGAGCTGTGGGGGGGAAGGGACGGTGATGACTCCCAGACAGGTACAAGGTGGGAGGGAAAGCTCTTGCCTGTTCTGTGGCCAAGGACTACAGGTTTCATTTCCAGCCTAGAGTGGCATAGAGAAGTGGTAACCTCTGCAGTTTGTATTACATTTTGTTTGGATGTGTGGATATGAAAAGAGCTACTACAGTATAAAAATATCATTATAGAGCAAGAAATGGGACAGGTGACTTCAAAAAAAGGTAAAGAGTGTCTGGCTCCAGATTACTGAAGAAGTTACATGATGGGTTTCTCAAGTTAATTCCTTATAATCATAAACTAAAAACAAAAGTTATTCCAAATCTAAAACTTAAAAGTTTCCACATCAACTCCATTTCTTGTAGTGCATCTCTCATACTCAGCTATAAAGTATTTACAGGGTTTTACTCATTTACACAATATGGCTTTAATATATTGTAACACAAAGCATTAAAATGTCTCAGAGCAAAATTCTTCATAAAACATTCTTTCTGAATATAAAGGTTGGCATTTCATTGATTTGGCTGACAAAGCAGCAGAGTTATTTGTTTTCTGATTGTGCTTTTTGATGACAAGCACAAATTTTGGTCGTTTCCATCAGGGCGTAGACTCTTAATAGTCAGAGCTACCTCTCCCTCAAAGCCCAGCTGAATAAGTTTCATGAGCCACAGTTTCACAGACATTCTGTTGGACCCACGTGTTTGCCACTAAGGTAAGGAAGAGAAGGCCTTTCTTTTGGAACTTTCATATTAAGACAAAAAAGCAAGATGTATTTTGTGGGTTTTCTGAAAGTGCAGGTCTTTGGTAACAATAAACAAAATGAGCAAAGCAAGGAAGGAGGGGGGATTTTGCTGGGCACAATGTCCAGCCAATTCTATCGGGTGCAGTCAGATGGAGGGAAAGGTCCTGGTGTGGTGGCACGTTTTATCATCGAGAATTCAAACGAGGAGCAACCTGCAGGAGAAGGAGGACAAGCTAGAAAAGTGTGTTGGAAACAAAGATGCTGCAACAGTTTTTTAGCTACTAAACATCTTTAAAGCACCCCAAAGACTGGCTTGTAGAACTAAGCTCTTATACCACAGTATGTGAAGTTTGTTTGCTCTGTTATAAACGATGGCAGTTGTGGTGCCAGCAGGAAACAAAAGCAGATCTTGGCAATTCAGTCAGAGGAGTTCACAGCGCTTCTATGCCCCAGTGCCTGGGGTTATATTAAAAACTTGGCCCTAGGCTAGCAGTACTAGACTACTTTACTTTGCCAAGGAGAGAGGGGCAAAACTGGAAAAATGGTCCTAGGGATGGTTTGAAAAGGCTGGGGGAAAAAATCATGGGATGTGTTTCTTCATAGTCTGAAGAAGTTACTTGGTTTGCTGTTACTGATAGCAAATAAAGCAGCATGATCCTCAGCTGAGCATGTTTGCTTATGCAAATTAAATCTCTTCCTGAGTACAGTCTATATGTGTTCCACAGAGCAAGGACGTCTTTTGGCAGTGCTACACTGGTGGTTTTTTATAGGATGGACTGAAGAGGGAAGTGGCGATGGTGATCACTGTTCTGAGGAGAGTCAGCCTGCAGTAGGACAGGGGAGCTCGCTGGGAGGGAAGTGAGTACAGTCTGAATATGGTCTGGATTTATTTCTGAATAGCCTTTAATCTGGCAAAGCATAGATCAGTTGCATGACTGCATCTGAGTAGCAGGAAGACTACAAACAATCTGAGAAGGAAAGAGGATTTTTTTTTTTTTTTTTGGCTTCCTGTGTTTTTAAATCCTCTTTCCAAAATGTGATTTGCAACAGCATATAGCATTAAAGCCTGAATCTTGGGGAGGGGAAAAAAAGTGATTGATAGGACAATCCCTTGATGAGTTTGTGTGAGCCTGGCAGTTTCTTGAGCCTGCAGGAAGAGAAGTACAATGTGCAGCTCCCACTGGGGAAAGGGCTGGTAGACCAGGGCAGTGCATTCAGCGAGAAAGTTATGGGGCATGTGTCCATCTACTGCAAATACAGTTTAATGCCAGAGTCTGGGTTTGGACCCACTGGAAGTGAACCAGCCTTTTGTACCACCCCCGGCCTGTACTCACCACTGTTAGATGGCCATTCTTGGCTTTGGCTATAAGCAGCTCTGATCCTGATATAAAGTCAATTATACCTTCTTTGCCTTGCCCAACTGTAAATTTTATGCTGTGAAGACAATGAGGAAAAACAGATTTGATGAGTATTTGTGACCTCTTCACTAGCTTAGTTTTACCCTTTTCCTGTGTGCCTGCTTTGTATTAGTGCTTAGCTGCGATGATACAGCTGCTTGTTCAGGGAAACAGGGCCTTGGGTAAGATGTATTAGATGTTGATGTCGTATAGGGATGTTTCTGGAGCCCTTTACTGCTGAAGCAGAGCTCTCTTCAGAACACAAGAAACCCAAGGCAGCTCCTGAGAGGGGTTTGGCTTCACTCACCTGCCCTGGTTGATGTTGACATTATTGACTTTGCCTGCCTGCATGGCGGTTTTTGTTAGTGTCTCGATCACGTGGTCACTCTGAAGTACAACATCCCCCTGGGAGGAGAGACAAGTGTTTAGTGTCAGCAGGCCAAAGTAATTATGCTGTAATTAACAGGGATGGAACTATCTCCCATAGGTTAGTGTGGAAAACGCTTCTCTGAGTGGCCCAGCCTGGGTGGGGATCTCCGGGGCCTCTTGCAGGTCACACTGCACCAGTGGTGGTTAATTTAGTTCCAAGGTATCAGCAATGGGGGCAAGGGCCAGCACCAGTCCTGTTGGTGAACAAGTCACTGGTGAACCCTGTCTGTGAGCCCAAGTAAATAGAAGTGAAATGCTACTTGGAGCTGGCACAGTTACAGGTGTGCCCTCCTCCCCTGCCCAGTTGGATTTTTTTTTTTTTGTGCCTTTAAAACCTTTTTCCTAGAGGTGGTTGGAGAACTGATGGGCGAGTCCCACTACCTTCTGTTTGTTATCCTCACAGTGCACGTGCAGCACAAACAAGTTATCGCTCAGGCTGCTGACGGAGATGCCTGCAATAGAGAACAGCCATTTGACACCCAGCACGTCACCACTCGCGTTCCTGCACGTGTTTCAGAACCTCTCCCAGGAACGCAGCAACTGTTGTTCCCACAGCAAGAAACCCGACAGCTGAGAAGCTGCACAGAAGCACTGTGCTAACACATCAGCAGAGAGGCTGAAGTGGCTGCAAGGTGACAGACAATCAGCTTAAACTCCTCTTTTTAGGATGAAAAAGAAACTTTCAGGTACCTCTATCAGAAATAGGAAGAACACCTGTTTACAAACTATCATGGCCTCCATGGACTCGACAAAGGGCTACTTTAGCTAGTTAAGGGACCTATGACTAAAATTTTACTTTTCAGCACCCACTGGACAGATACTTTCCAGCCCAGCAGGTGGGTGAGTGGTGTAATTACTGGGGTACTAAGGAGAGAGGGACAATTGGAACAATGTGGTCACTGTTGTTGTCACCGGCCCCTCTGCCAGTGTGCGGTAAGAAAGGCCGGAGCTGTTGTAGGAGCTGCTGTAGAATCGGGGCTCCAGGAAGTTGCCATTGCTGTGATTTCCCTGCCCTGCAGCTAAGCCTGGGGGCAGGCTGAACCCACACCTACCTGCTGCCCTACTGGTCCATACTGGTCCTTGCAGAGCCAGTCCTGAGCTGCTGCAGGGTGTCATTACGATGCACTGACACCGACGTGGGCTCAGAGTTCGGAGTTCAGCATTTCTGCTCGCCCAGCCAGCATCTGCCTTCTGACCACGCAGTAAGGGAGAGGCTGAGCCTCTGCCAGGCATTGCTCATGTTTGCTAAATGAAAAAACCCTCTCCCTGGGGTAGGTTACGGAGCACTCTGCTGTGTCTCAGGAGGGTCTGTTTCTTCATAGTTTATTTTTGGACTTAGTTTAGTATCTTGACACTAGATAGAAACTGGATTAGCTATTTAAATTGAGCTAGCCCAATCCCAGCAATGATAAACATACATCTTTGCAACTCTCATAAGATGTTATGGTAGAACCCCAAATTAGTGTTGTCCTTGGAAACCACTTCAAATGGTGACAGTTATAAACGCAGTACAGTTGCATCAGGCTAACACTGAAATGATTAGCACCAAAATCGGCACTGAGCTGGGAGCTGAGGCTGTGAAGTGAGGTCTCAGACAACCAAGTAACGAAGTACAATGCAGCAGACACTCAGCAGTTTTCTCTCTCTGACCAAGGACCCCCCTCTAAAAGTATCAAGTCCGTGTCAAATATTGAGTGCTGAAAGCTGTAGCAGTGTCCCAAGCAGCTGCTAGGTAATAATGGTGCAACTCCCCCGTGGTGGAGATGTGCAATTGGGAAATGCCTTAGGAGGAGGCTTGGGGGAGATGAATTGAGTAATTTTTTGTGACATTTTTATGGAGTTTAATTTTAGAAAAACTCAGTTTCAAGATATTACAGACTTTAAATGCTTGTCAGTAGCAGATAATTCCATTCTTGTCCAGGACAAAAGCAAACTCGTTATTGTATTATTACTTAGTTAACCATAGCCAAGGTGAAGGGTGACTTCAGTCAAGGGAGCCAGACCCCATTTCTGTCACCATTCTTACCTGTCAGGTTGGCATAGTCGATCCGTTGCTTAATTTTGGATTCTTCAGCTATGACGACTGCGCTCTGGGTAAGAAGCAGCTGCCGTGCTCTTGCTTTGTATCCTTTCCGGTCATACTTGATCACGGGAACTGCATACTGAAATAAGTGTTAACACTGCTGAAAATGCAGTTTGGTTACCTGTCAGCTACATTCCCTCTGGCCTAGAGAGCGTGCAGGAGGTACTGACCAGTGGCTGGTGAACTGGGAATGGGGACCATTCCTTGGAGTTCTATTCTCAGTTCTGCCAGACTTCCTTGGTGACCTAGAGGAGTTCTGAACAATAACTTGATGACTACAACTCTCTGACTGTGGGCTTTAAAAATCCAGGTTTAGTTTCAGTCTGCAGGTTTCTCCTTTCCAGCCATGCCAGCTGCAACCCTTTTAATTCTTAACTGACATAATTAAACTCGCCCAAATCTCCAAATCATGTTTCTGAGCCATCGGCTCCTACCATAGACTGTCTTCTAAGGTGTTACAAGCTTAATATAATGTAAAATTTTTGCTGTATTTTCTTCAGAAATCTAATTTTCTGATATTCTACTGAGTAACTCTAGAAGCTTGACAAAAATACTAGGACGCACATCTCACCTTAATGGCTTCACTTTCTAAAGCCTGAAGGACTTTAGCATTTATCTCTTCATTACCTATATTAAAACCAAAGAGGGGGGGTTAGAAAGAAATTTCTAGCAAGAAAAAAGTAAATTAATATTCCCCCTTTCCTTCCTCTTGTTGAACTTTGTAACACCTACTCACCAAGTCGAGTGTTGATGAAGAGTCTAGGAACACTCTGAGGGTAGTTGTCTTTTTTACCCTTAAAAATCTCACTGGCAATTACTTTTTGTTCCAACTGCAAGGAAAAAAGATGCAAAAGATGTATTCTTGTTTAGTATAAAATTTCTCCTTGATAAAAAGATAAATTTGTCTTAAGGGATGTTTTTGTTTTGTGTTTTTTGTTGGTTTTTTTTTGTGGTGGTGTTTTTTTTTTTTAGCAGTCTTCATCTAGTTCTGACCTCCTGAATCATGCTAGTCACAAAACTACCCAAAATATTCCCTACATCCCTTACATTTTCAACAGCTACCCTATCGTTAGGGCAAAAATGTTTTGCTGGGTTTTTTGTTTGTTATGTTTGTGTGTGGTTTTTTTGTTTTTTTTTTTTTTTTTTGTTTTCCCTTTAATCGCAAAAGTATGCATCATATTTCTGTTTTGAATTTATCTGGACAGGGCATCGAGGCTCTGGATTTTGATAATGCCTGTGTTTAAAAAGGCTCAGAATTCTCTTACTGCAGTGATTCTCTTAACCTGTTCCTCCTTCAGTTGAACAGTTTGTTCTTCTCCTCTACCTGATACGGCTTTTTTCATGTTTCAGGTGATTTATTTCCCCTCACCCCAAAGCCTTTCAGCTAGTCAACATCTGTACTTGAAGTACTGACAGAAAAGTTATGTCCTTACTAGTAACTGTGTAACACGTTCCTTACAGCGCTCTGCTCTCCTCAATATTCTCCACCTTCTCCTCTGACAAACAGTACAATTCAATTAGCTACTGTACTGCCCTGGGAGTTCCTGTTGAGATAATGAGTCACCATAAACCTTTTGTCCCTTTCACAGGGCGGTATTCCAGGATACAGTCACCCCACACAGTAAATATGACCTGTGCTCTTAGCTCCTGACTTGTGTTTCTTCAGAATAAGAACAAAACCAGTGAATGAGGAAACGGGAAAGCTCAAATGCATGTTACGGGTGCTATTACACAGTATAAGATACCTGAAATGATTTACAGGTAAAATGTGGATAAAAAATAGTTATTGGTGAGGCTGGTTTGCTGGGGAAAAGAAAGTGTTCTGCTGAGTTTCCACCTCCAGCTCAGTAATGGCTGGTATTAATCCTGTGTCCTTAATCACAGGCTCAGCCACTAACTAATCTACAGCATTTCATTACATGTGCTTAATACTTGGCAGGCCTTCATAAGCACTATGATATACAATGAGATAAAAAAAAAACCTTAATGGCAACTATCATCTCCCACCAGTTACATGTAAATTGTTTAACGTATACATGTCCTATTACATCCCTTTCTGAGCCTTTTTTTAATATAAAAAAAATTCCCCTCTCCCTACCTTTCCATGACTCAGAAGAATCAAATCTCAGTATTGTTTATATTCTTTTTAGCTAGAACAGCAGCTCTAACTGTTCATGTAACTTCTCTGGAAAATTATTAGTTTTGTGTCTGCAGAATTCTTACTCTCTACTTTATATGGTACAACCAGAATAATGCAGCTTATTGTGTTTTTATCTTCCATGGGAAGAATAACAGGGCCTTTCCGTGTATTAGTTACATAGGGGCATAGATATACAACACTGTTTAAATAGTATGTATTGAAATAGGCATATAATGCTTTTTCTTTTGTTTTATGCACATTCTGGCCTTTAGTTTTATGTCTCCAACCTAAAATAAAATCACAGTGTTCATGTGGAACTCTTAACCACCCACCCAAGCCTGCAATGACTCAAGAGTTCCTCGCCCTCCCCAGGGCTTCGGTGCCTCCCGCTGCAGCAGCACCCTTGTCCCCCCAGCCAGCTGCTCCCCTCCTTGATTTCTTACAATAAATAATGCTGAGAACCCCCTCCCGTTCTTGGAAACAGCAGTGCAGTTTGTGAAATAAAGCTGCCTCGTACCTGCTGCTTCCACTCTGGGCTGATTCTCTTGCAGTAGGTCCAGACCATGTTCTGCATACAGAGCTGTCGCAGGAGCTGGGATGCCTGAAGCAGAAATTGCACAGTAAATGAAAAATAGCTCAAACTTACTGAAAAACCAATTCAAACAGTGAAGACAGATGAGAAGCAACTGCAGAAAATGCACTCCTGAATTAAAATACTGTTCCATTACTGGGAGTTGCTTTTAAAATTAAATAATAGAACATTTATTTTCCACCTTTCTAATAGAGTTTGCCCCACAACATTCTCCAGTTGCTTTAGAATAGAAAATGAATACCAGGAGGACTCCACCTCCCCCTGCTTCCAGCTGTACCTGCAATCCAACCAAACACAGATCTTTGGAGAAGATAACTGGGACTTTCTGCAATATTTTGTTTTGATCAGATAAACCCCCCAATTCTGCCAGCTGCAGAACAATAATGGCAATAGAGGAAGTTTAGTATGTTCTTCACAGGCAACCACACTCATTTCAGCCAATTTAACTGTCCAGAGGGAACTTAATTTGTTCCAAGAAAAAGTGAAGAAAGTTTCAGTAATAGATGAGAAAACCAGTAGAAAATGGTGTTGCACCAGCACCATGCTCTCGAGCACCTTCAATACTGTAGCTCTAATAATTTTACAGATGTGCTAATTACACCCATGGGATGACGTGGGGATTCATTCTACCAGGAGAGATGCTAATGCAACGTGGGCTTGAGTGAGAACCTGGTTCATTCTTCCGTGACAGCAGGAGGGTCCCCGCAGGCCTTTGGTGGCCATCAGCCTCCTCCCTCCAGCCCGCGCCTGACCCTGGGCCGGTCGTGCCTACCTCACACAGCGACGGAGGGGGCGGGGGCCACGATTTGTCCAAAACGCTTTTTGGTAAATTACGCTTGAGGTTCATCAGGAAGGAGAAGCGGATGTAATCAAGGAAATACTCGTTCTCTGGGCAGCGAGGGTGGTTCCGGTAAATAAAACCTTTAATAAATCTGAGGAAGAAAAACATTTTCTTAGAAGAGCGATCAAAACGAGAGATATGTAGAGGTCTCTTCCAACCAAAGCATTTTCTGGGATTTACTTAATAATAGTTGTAACGGTGATGAGAAAGTTTATTCTTATCATCCTCTTGTTAAGAAATAAGAACCCATCGGATGGCTTGGGTTATTCTTTACGCACCTTCTGATAGTCTCTACTGCCCACTTCTTCTTGGCAGCTTTTCGGCGTCCCAAGGTTCCCCGCCACCAGGACTGGATGGCTATCGCTAAAAATAACACAAAGATTTTCCATTAGGTGACCTCCTTCATACCAATATTGACTCCACACAGAACGAACAGCAGAGAGTGCTCAGGAAAGGCCACTCTGGAAATCAACAGCCTTCAACGTGGCATATGGGAAAGAATGTAATTTAAGTTCTTAATAATATGATACAATGGATAAAGGTCAATGAAAAGCACCAGCAGATGGGGGCTGCTGGGTGACCATGAGTTAAATCTGTTGCTCTGCTCTTGCTCAGAGCCTCACAGAGGGAAGGTGGAAGCACCGGGTGCCACACCAGCATCTTCCATTCTACTTGAAGCAAGGCTTTGGGAGTGATCCTTCTTGCACGTCAAACTCAAGTCATCTCTGACAACAGTGGCCACTTCAAACCACACAGTTGCCCAGCACTGCCGTTTCCTCTTTCTCATACCTGAGTGTTTCATGTGCAGGAATTTCTTTCGACGGTAGAAACCTCTCCATGTGGCTTGCATTTTTGTTGCTGAAATTGAAAGAACAACAGCAATTTGGAACTGTGACCAAGCAGACTGTGGTAGAAAAAGATTCAACTTTTTAAACAAAAATCCCTTCCTGATCAAACAGAAAAAAAAAAAATAATCAGAAAACAGACAGCTGACTGTCCCTGAAGCTACTGCAGCATGTGTGACTCACCCAGACTCTGCTTCCTCACTTCCAGAGCATCTTCCGTTGCAAACAAGGTCTTGGGAAAGCGGATAAAAATCTTTGTTCTAGAAATAGAAATGCAGAATTAAGTTTAACGTGCTGGAGAAGTTTGCTTCCTGCCCTTAGGATCCCCTTTGGGATCTCTAATCTCTTCCTCACCCATTAGACAGAGAAGCCTTATTTAAAAGCATTGACATAGATGTCCAATGATTCATCATCTCAAATTAAGAAAACAGAAGAACTAACCGTCCCATTTTGTATTCTTCCTGTTTGTAGCCAAGATGCTTCACCAGCACAGCCACCCCATCATGGGGCCGTCCGTCCCACGTGGGCCACGTTTCTGGACAAAGGGATTTGTACCTGGACATTGACAGCAGAAGCAATCTCAGGGAGAGAAGTCCACTCCATACAGGTTGATGGGAAGGGAGAGGGGCCGTGCTTCTCACTCCCTCCAGAAAATAAGTCTTTCGGGTGTAAGGGCTGCCTCTTCCCTGTTCAGAACAGCTCCCCAGCCTCAACTTCTGTGGGACCAAGACCAGGGGGAGGGAGCAGCAGGGAGAGAGAAGTACAAGGTAATCCTACCTCTGCAGGAAAACTTCGTATTTTCTTCGATATGCAAACCCAGCTCTGCGCACTCTGAGGTTCTCCATCAACCCCAGGTATTTCACTTGATGTCGGATTAGAACTTCATCAAATCGATCTTGAGAGAGGATGAAAATAGAGAAACATATTGAATGTGTAGCTGTCCCTTCATCTGGAGAAGGGGAATGCTCAGTTCTTACACAGTTATCTTTAACCTCTAACCCATACTCCTGGAGCAAGTCCCACACAACTGTCTGTCCCCCCCTTCCCTTTTAATACACATTAATATTTAGTTCCAAAAAGAAGTTCTCCTTTAGGATGGTCTATGCATACAGGAGGAAGAAATGAGTGAGACTAAATGTAATTAAAAGGAAGTTACATAGGGAAATTCTTCGCTTTAAGCATGACCCTAACTCCACCCAAGACCAGTGCTCCCATTCCTACTCCTGGCTGCTGGTACTGCCACCAAGTCCCTACAAGAAGCTCTGGCACAGACCCAAAATGAAAAAATCTTGCAGGACTTCATTTGAGCTCCTTTCTGTGCGGCGCTGACTGCAATCTAGTGGTGTACATATAGCTGTCATAGAAAAAAAGAGGAAGAGTCACCAGGGTCATACCAGCCTGTTTAGCATCGTTAGGTTTAATGCAACGAATGTAGGAGGGTTCTTTGGACATCAGGATTTCCATGAGTTTGGAGAGGCTGTTTTTAAACTGAGTTGCTGCCTAGGAGAAAAGAAAGAAAACTATGGATGAAGCAATGACTTAGAGCTAGCACTTGTGCCTGCAGCACAAACCTCAGTCTCCTAGACTGAAATGTAAGAGGCTTGCATTTAGACTACCACGTTAGACAGGACGTGTCTTTTAAAAAGAGAAATAGCCCCACTTCCACCCAGCTCTGGTGTTCTTACCGTTTCAGGTCTCTTTTTGTCTGTCAGCTCCGTCCTGTCAAAACATTGATTTATGATAGGATTCTCAGAGTTGCACATGGTCTGCAGAGAGAGACGTTTGATTATTCTCCAGAGAACTATCAAAGAAACATGGGACAAACCCGTTTGTTTGGGGTTTTTTGTTTTGTTTTGCTTTTTCATAATTAAATGAACTTTGGGCACCTCAATTTGTCTTTTCCTAGAGCAGTTCTATGGACCTGCGTTCTCCAGGTGGAGTACAGAGGTATCTTTTCCCTTGGGTGCCGCCCCATTTTAAACCCGACTCCTCATTCTGCTGAGTATTGCAAACACCCTCTATCCACACTCACCTCCTTCAGGTTCCGAAAGAGAAGGTCATTGTTTTTATCTAGAAAACCTGGAAGAAAAAGAAACCGCTCAGGCTGCCACTGCTGTTCCACAGGAACTTCACAATCAGGCAGGAATTTGAAATGGGAAATTAATCTGGTTAATCAAATGATGTGTAGACGTATTCTATGCCCAGATTTTTCTTTACTATGTAGTGAAGCTGGTTTAATTCAAAGGGCAGAGGATGGGAGGAGAAAAAAGAGTGAGAGACAGCAGAGATGATGCACACACGTACCTGCAACGCTGTAGGTGACCTCTCCAGCATAGTGCAAAAGCCGGAACTCTTCCCTCCCCAGGGACTTGCGAGTCTTTTGGTCAGCGAGCTTGTGCCTGGTGAGAAAACAAAGAAGCTTCATGAGAAACAAACATTGTTTCATGACAGGATTCACTTCAAAAAAGCACTGTGGCATTTGATCCCAGAGTGGGACTATGTGAACACAGAAAAGGGGAGGGAAATAAATCTGACTTGCTGATTTTCAAGACCAAAAGTAAATAAAGAGTTATCAACCAGCAAATCATAAAAACATCAGAAAATGTATTTAAGTTTATTTCAGATGGATGAACTTCCAGCATCCTGGTGAGGCTGCAGAGCGGTTCTGTGTGCACATGACATTAGAGTACAGGCAGCAGGCAAGAGGGCAGTGAAGATGCAGGCAGCAGGCCGGCATACGCATGAGATGCTGCACAGATCCTGATCGGCATGTAGGCAGAACATTCAGGAAGAATAAAAAGACATTTGGAGCTCCAAAACTGAAGTAAAGCATCTGAAAGGTGAAACATGGAATTCACAGCCGTGAAACCGGAGTGGTGGCAATATGGATAAGTCCCCAGAGTCAAAGGAGGATATCAGGCTCGTCTGGGAAGCAGATGGGCACAAAGGTGAGTGCGTGTGATATAAACCTCTCACTTTCAAAAGCACCAACACCACGTAAATCATTCTAATGTGTATACACCTCTGAACACTACTTTCACCCATAAAATTCTGCTCCATGTTCTACTTATTCCTAGGCCCGACTTGAGTCATCAGTGCTGGGGAATGATCTGGCCTAATACTCTAAACCAGAGTCTGTTACACCTGAAGAACCAAGGAGCTGCAAGCCTGCAAATTCTTTGGACATATCAGTAAGATGCCAGGAAGAGACCGGTGAAGAAACTAGTCAGTAAGAAGAGTTTTGTTGCTCCTGCTGCATTCAGAAGCATACTCTCGAGGAGAGCAAGGCAGTTTGCGTTGACAACTTACTCTGTATTAACTCACAGTCTAATCTCTGCAAAAGGAAACACGATCATCTTTTATGTGGGACCCTGCACACCTGGGATGCTACTGCCATACACACAGGGAGTTATAACGGTATCTAGGAATAATTAAAGCTCTAGGCTCTATCACACACTCGGATCCTGCCAGTGTAACCTCCCTCAGCTATGTGAACACTCACGTGAGAAAATGAGGGTGGTTCTTCACAGTTTCCTCCAGTTTCTCCAAGAATGTTGTATCTGTGGCATCACCAGGTCTCAGACACTCTTCATCCTACAAGCACACGCATTCTAGTACTGACTTCCCACCGTGCTTGTCAGCGCCCAGGCCAGCTCTAATTCCGTCTCACGGAGATGCTGCCCCAGTTTGACCCTTCGGCCTTTTAACAGGTAGGCCAGCCCTTAGTTCAACAAATGAAGAATTGTTGAGCTTAAACACTTTCCTCCTTCCAGACTGCCTGGACTGGAAACTTCTCTCCCGAGAGCAGGTGAAGGTGATACAATATGACTTTTAACGGTGTCACTGTTCAGTGTATTGTAGCTCTTCCCACCTGCCCAAGTAACCCTAATACAAAATTAGACCTTTTTTTTTCCTGTGTTCTTTCCCTTGTTTTCCACTACACTGCCCCAAGTTTTTCATTTAAAAAGGTGTTGTCAACTCACCAGAATAGAAATGATGCCTTTGAATTTCTCCTCCACCAAATCACAGATTATTTTGTTATTGAAATACTGAACTGGTTCCCACTATAAAGACAAGAAATCACACCTGGGTGAAAACAATCCTAGACTAGAAAAGTCATGAAAACTTCAGAACATTTCAGACAGCACCTTACTTAAATAATCTTTCTGTCAAATTTGAAACAAAACGTTTTCACTCATCAAATTTGTTTTCCTAACATTCCCTTTAAGAACATTTTTTTGTATCACAGAGAAAGATTGGAATGGCATTACTCACTTCTAACCATATCACACAGAGTTACCAAAGTGTTTCAAAAAGAAAGGAAAAAGGAAACCTCTTCAGTTCATTTACTTTGGAGACCATAATTAGCAGCTCCTTTTCTAACCACCTCTGGCCTGCAGGAGGTGCTACAAAGGAGACAGTGGAAGGGATGATATTGGCTCTTACCGCTATGCCTTCTGACTCGTATTCCTCTTGTTCTGACTTTAATGTGAGCTCTATGAAGAGCTGCTGCAATTTTTCATTACAATAATTAATACAAAATTGCTCAAAGCTGCAAACAAAAAAATCAGAAAAATAATCACTAACAGTGTACCATAAGTAAAAGAAACTACAATTAGTGGGCAGCAGAATGAATATATATCCATGTAAATCAAAAGAAATAGAAGAGATTTTGTGAAATGTTTATTTACTGACTGCATAGATTTAGTAAGTTTATTATTTAAGGGATCTCATGGAAAAGTTATAGAAGGAGGGAAAACCATACATGAGGGATGGAACAGAGCAGACCGCAAAACTTTCTAAGAAGAGCCCAATTACACTGCAGATCTGAGTCTCAGTTCATTGCTATCTAGATGCCAGAGTTGGGCTCCAGACTCCGGCACAGTCAGTTTTATAGCTGGTTTTTCCCGTTCACGCCACCATGGAAAGATGTCACAGCCAGCACCACCGTGCCAGAGAGCTCAACAAAGGCATAGTTCAAGCTATTGCACGAACATGCCCCCAAAGGACAACTGTCTCTTTAAAATACAAGGAACATTAACAGCTGTAAATGCTAAACATTAGCTGGGGATGCCCCAAGTGTTAGAAGCCCTGTGATTATCAGTTATTCATCTGATTTCCTAAAGCTGAAACATCACCTCTTTCTGTCTTACTAAGGGAACTAGAGCTGGAATAACGTCTAATTTCCCAGTGGAGGGTAAACACTATAATGAATGAAGTCACACAGAGTTTAGTCAAAACTCAGAAACATTGATTGAAACAAACCTGTTGTGCTGGAAAACCTCAAATCCATAGATATCAAGCAATCCTAGAACCGTTGTACTTCTCCAGCCTGGAAACTCTCCTTCCTGCAACAGGGCAAAAAATAAATGTTGAGAGGTACTCGCAGCTACGACCCATCACTGGATCATACCCATTTAGTTCCAGCATTTACTCCTTACCCTCTTCTTAATGGAAAACAAATTAATTTAGAAATCACTGTACAGCACAGACCTTACCATTTCTCTGCTTTGCAGCCAAAAGATTTGAAACTTCCTTTCATGCTTGGTTGGATATCAACAAACAAAGGGTTCATTTACCTTGTAAGCAAGAGACTTGTTAACCTTGTTCACCAGCCAGGAGAAAGTGCGTCCGTATATCGCCTTAGCAAGCGCATCCCTCGCGTAGGCTGCCTGCTCCAGGTTCAGGGGGCTGATGAGCTGCGCGCAGAAGGAGAACACGGCCGTTCAGCGGCCATTCCACCGAGGGATGAAGTTTCCCTAGTTCAGTGCTGATAAACAGCTGCTCAGCAGCATCCTGTCTGGGCTCAGCTCACATCACTGTCTCCCAGCTGATGGTGACTTGTAAAGATACAAGTCACCGTCAGTGGGACTCCCGCACTGACAACCTCCTCTGACAAGTGTGAACAGTTCCGTGCTGGTAAGAGAGCTGACGGTGCATCGCTAGCTTGGTTTAATTCCATGGGCCTCCCAGATCCCCAGCTCATGTTCTTACCTCTTCCCCTTTTGCTATGATCTTCTTGTGGATCAATGCATCTCGAAGAACAGAGCCCTCAACTGCTAGAAGCTGCAAAGCAGTAGAATATCAAATTAATTTAAGAAGCAGTACATTCAATTTATCAGTAATAGTTTTAAGAGACCAGAAAGGCTAGTCCTCAAAAGCACAGTCCAGTGAAACAATCCTTCATTTGCCCACTCGCACTGCATGACTTCTTGCAGCATCAATCCTTCCCTTTCCTCCCGCACACCACCTCCTTTCTGGCAGTGATATGACTTAGCAAATAAATGGGCTTGATTGTTCTGGCACAAAGAACTGACTAAGCAAAGCCACCAGGGTTGTTCTTTCTTTAAAACTCTTCTCCAGAGCAGATCTATTCCTATCCCACTCCCTGGAGGTGAAAACCTCGAGTCAGTGCTGGATCAAGTGGTAAATAGAGAAGTTGTCAATTAAAGGGTTTTGGTGTTAATATTTGCATTTTATTTAGGTCAAATAAAAGCAAATTCATGAAAACTTCTAAATCATATTCTAAAACGATATGATGGTACCAGGTTCCAAATAAGGAAACCTCTACAATTCATCTTTAATGTAATATATCTCTAACTGGTGATACTCACCCTAGCCAGGTATTTAATCTGATTCTCTGTAGTGACTTGAGCGTTTCCTTGCTCATCAACAGCAAAGTGCACGTTCCCCAGGTGCAGAACGCTAGCCACAATGCTCAGCAGATCCTGGGGTGGAAGCAACAGTCAGAAACCAGGACGATGAAACGGACACACAGGGAGAAAAGGCAGTGAGATTTTTGTGTTAATTAAGATTTTATAAGAACACTTTGGGATTTTTTTTTTCCAGGATTTCTGTAGATAATACTTTCATTCTGAAGGCTGCCTGTGGTCAGAAATAACATATCAAAGCAGAAAAATCCCTTAAGAATAGGAAAATCAGCTGTGCTGTTAAACATGCCTTACCTCCACCTCGTTATCATTGAAGCTTATAATGGACAGGGCTCTTCGCACAATCTTCCAATCATTTTTATCATTTATGGAACTGACCCTTGCACAGTGACCCTAAGAAGACACAGTTTGATATAAACAAGTAAACAATTGTCAAAGATATATTAACTCAGGCTCAACGTACTTTTGCCATGTTTCCTTTCATAGCAGTTACCTCCATGTTATTCTTTAAGTGAGGGAAGGAAACTATAAAGTCAACTGAAAATATATTGGTCCTATACTAACAATTTTATAAGAATTACTAATTAATGCACACCTTTACTAAATAGTGATACTGTTGTGGGCTCTTCTCAAGGCCCAGCCTTCGCAGTAAGTCTTCCTCCCCTCCTTCTAGCAGCTGGTAGAAAATGTGGAAGTTTCTCTCTCCATGATTCTGGTGCACAACTCGGGATTTCTCCAGGAGGTAGTTCAAGATGTGGCCCCCGACAGGAGCCCCCTAAATCAAACCAGATACATCGAAATAGTTCATCAACATAGAGGAAAATATTTGCTTTTTGGTGGTCTATTCAAAGACAAATAGAATACAAAATGGTAGCCAACAAAAAGACAAGAAAGTATCTATCATTTTGTATCACAATCTCTATTTCAGCTAAAACAATGGCGATTTGAGTTTTGAAGTGTATGCAAAATGAGCTATCAAATTAAAATAATGTGCCATTATATAGATCATGGCTATGGCACATGCTGAATCGGATGCTGACTTGTGTAAAATCCCTTCTCAGAAGGAATTCAACACAGAGGAAAAGGAACAAAACCATGAGTGGGGAGGGATTCATACTGAGATATTTAAATGTCTGCAGTATGCTGAGCTACTCAGGTCCTGCACTGTGTTACAGTGTGGAGAAATTTGGATTGGAATCGAAACAAACACTATGCAAAGTTACACAGGACAGGGATTAGCTTCAGATCACAGCTGGCTTATGTGGATTTAGTTTGGGAGTATCCATTTGCCTGGTGCACATACACTCTAGAAATAAGAGGATTTAATCTCACTGTTTTATTATATAGAGAAATGAGGAGGGGGGGGAAAGGAAAGTGTATTCTATAAAATCCTCTGGAAGCAAACTTTGCTGCCACAGACTCTGCTTGCACTGTTGTTGAGGGAATGCAAAACAATCACTCCACACACACATCAGTACAAGACAGCACTGGGAACAGAGACCTGCCATGACTGGGACCAGTTCTGAAGTAGAAAACAGATTTTAAGTTACCCTGTAGTCAAACTGCACATCCATATATTTCCCAAATCGGCTGGAGTTGTCATTCCGAAGGGTCTTTGCATTTCCAAAGGCCTGAAATCAAAGCAATTAGAGCAAAAAAATAAATAAGTATCAAGTAAGATTATTTGTAAACACTTTGGTGAAGCTGCCAGTCGTTTATTTACAACCGTTACAGCCTAGGCTTTTCCTTTTTGCAAGGGGAACCAAGAAGGAAACATATTGCTACCCAAATTCTAATGCTGATCTTTATACCCAGTGCAAGCACTGCAGATGGAACATGCCTCTGAAAACATTTCCATCCCCCCTAGCGAGCTTATTTTAATGCCAGTTCACTGCTGACAACATATGTCATGTCTGACAGCCTTTTCAAAGCTCCCTCTTTCATCACAGCTATTTGCTTACAGCCACCCGCAGCTCGGCTGGCAGCGGGCACCGTCCCAACAGGCCGAGCCCTGCCAGGCCGGGAGCACACACCTCTCCCGCGCACGCCGCGCACGTCTGAGCGGAAACATCGAAGGGAACGACAAAGACAGCTCGGGACTGGACACTAGAGGACACCACAGCACTAGAAAATGCACCCACAAACGCATTTACCAGAGGGCAACGCTGCTGCCCACAGCGGATGCATCCGCTTCTGGCTTTGCAGACTTAATGCGGCGCACCAGAACTCTTCCCACACCAAACGCCTCTCCCTGCAGCCTGGCCACTCCAGAATCGCTCCCGGTGGATTGGAGTAAGGCTGAGCGAGTTCAGCAGCAGACAGCCATTTCTTTGGCTTGGAAGCAGACCGGGATTCCCCTGTGTGCAGCACAAACGATCTGCCCACACGCCACGAGGCAGAGTTCCCAGGATACGCTCTCCGCTCTGCACAGACAGCCCAGCCGTGCCCAGTGGGGTCCAGCTGCCCCCACCCCCTCAGCTGGAAAATGTGAGTGCTGCTGGTATGACTCAATGTCAAGTTTCCGTGCCGCAGGCTCTAGAGTTACCTCCAGGACGGGATTGGACTGTAACAGGCGGTCCTTCACGGTTTCGACCTGCTGACTGGCTGGACAGGTCACAGCGTAGTACTGCAGGATCTTCTTGGTGGCCTCTGTTTTCCCAGCCCCGCTCTCCCCAGAGATCAGAATACACTGATCCTTCCTCTCCGTGCGCAGGGAGCGGTATGAATTGTCTGCAATAGCGTAGCTAGGGGACAGTGATAACCAGGCATTAGTTTGTTTCCACAAGTGAAGGGCACAGACTCCTCAGCTGAGGATATCCCGCGGTGCAAACTCCCAGCAGAGACACCTCAAAAACAAGTATGTGTCAAAGAGCGTATTGCTTCTTTGTGTGTGACGACACACGAGATTGCTGACATCTCTATGTACACCTTAACCACTGAGCCAAGTTTCTGCAGGGTAATAGCACAGATCTATCAAATTCCTTTAAAAACTGTTTGACTTTCCGATGAGAAGAGGTTCTGCAGAAGATGACTAAATGGTGCGGGTTTCTAAATATACATGACCTCTCAGTATTGGTCCCACAGGACAAAAAAGCTTTAGATTGAGGAAACATCTTGTTTTCCATCAATCTTTATTCTAGCTTATCTTTTAAACGATGACACACTCAGGTCACAACTGCACTTTGCTATCTGGGTGGCTCCAGAATAGCCCAACCTCTCACAGCTTCTCTTGGATGGCAGGAAGAATTGGATAAGCCAGCACAGACTAAGAAGCATCCTGCAGGCTACATAAGCTACATCCAACTTAGGCCAAACACCACCCGAAATACCAGACGGTTCCTCCTGCCTGCATACAGCCCGGGTTTATCGCTGCTGGCCCTGGAGCCCTGGGTCTTCCTTTGCTGCTTTTTCTTTCTCTTTTCTACCCCATGGCAGACCAGACAGGATCTCGTATCAAGAATCAGACACATTTTACAACAGCAGAGAGCAGGAGGATGAGTGACAATGGTGGCAGCTGCTTACAGAGGGAGAGGAAAAGGACCAGATAGATGCCATGAAAGAGGGTAAGAGACAAGAGGAGCCCTTCACAATGCACTCACACTCATAAAAGACGGCCTCCATAACAATATTTTCAGCTGTCTTACACGTGGTGATCAAGTAGATATCCTGTCGCCTTATGCTTGACAACCTCTTAGTAGCTTTGCCTTTTTTTCTTTCTTTTTTTTTTTTTTTTTTTTTTTAATTCTTATGCTGTGAAATTAATTAGAAATAACCACACCAAAATAACAGCCGTGGCCGCCTCAAGTCTATTAATACTTGGTGCTAAGGCAACACCAATGAGCTACCTAGCAACACAACTGCATGCTTACCCCACTAAAGTCATCAAGTCCTTCTCTTCCCATCCAAAGTCTGTTTCTAGAGTATTTTGAAAACAGTTGAATAAATAAAAATTTAATTGAAATTTTAAGAACTGCCTCTAGACTGTGTGCCTTTATTGGGTGATTTTATAGGACTGTAAGTTTAAGCAGAGAACTAGCAGTCATGCATACCACATACAGAATCACTTAAAGATGTTTACGGTCCCATTTGTAGTCACCATCTCTGAACCCCCTGGCAGGCTATAAATAGGACAGGATGTGACAGATCAGTCTGGGAAGTATGCTGTGTTCAAGCCCATAGGGATAACTTTCCTCCTTTGAATGTCTACGTGTGACGCACTTTCCAGAGATCCCAGTGCTCAGGCCTAGACTTAAACTATTCTGACACTGGAATAGCAATCTTTAAGTATTTTGGCTTTCTAGAATCAGTTTAGAATACGAGGAGGAGAAAAAAAAGACACCTGAAATACTGTAAAATTTGAAGCAGAGAGCTACACTACAGAGCATTTCAGAGTACTGTATTAGAGAGCATTTCAGTGTTCCTCAGAATACCTTCAAATGCAAAAGTAATCAAATAATGTAATGCAAATCATCAAATAATGTAATGTTTTTAAACGGAACAATAAAAACAGTCAACAAAAAATAATATTTTTCCAGCTGGAGCAGCAGTGGTATTTGATACTGCAGTTCTCAAGGGACTACTTAGGAGGTGCACATTTTACAATTTCTTATGCTACTAGTTAAAACAAGAAAGATACTTTGTGATTTAAGTCACTTTGTGTAGCACATGCAGGAATTAAAGCATACCTGCTGAGCACTTCACCTTATATGTGAGCATCGCCACCACGCTCAGTCCTGTACCTACTGCACACAAGTAAAAAGGCAGCCACAGTCCCAATAATTTTCCAGAGAGTCCCAAAATTCTCATCTAAGGCCAAAAAAGCCCTTAGGAGTGCCCTGATCACAGGCAAAAGTGGCTGCACGTAGGCCAGGCCTCTGCTAGGAAGGCAACCTGCGCAGCAACCACGGTGTGCCGGAGCTGGCAGGGGAGCTTATGTCCCCCATGTAAGTCCACACAAGAAGTTGAAGTACCATAAAAATCACATTTTTATCACAATAAATACAACTTCAAGCATTCAGGCTTTCCCAAGTAATGGTGCTTCTCACCCTCTCTGTGCTTGCAGTGCATTCTGTTTTGCTTACTCTCCTGGGCTATGTGCCAGTAAAAAGAAACAATCCAAATAGTTCGCTCAAAAATAATATCATTTTCTCTTCCAAGATCTCTTTTAAAAAAAAAAAAAAAAAGAAACACCACCGCAAAAAAAATCTCCAAGAGGTACTCAGAATTTGGCCCCTGATCCTGAAAGAAAACATTTTGGAGCCAAATGTCCTCAGCGCTCAGTCATCTTTCTCTTTCAGTCTGACAAAAAAATTCAAGTGCTTTCAAAAATAACTTTAAGCCTCAAAGTTTTTTTTTTTTTGTTGTTGTTTGGTTGGTTTTTTTTGTTGTTTTTTTTTTTTTTTTTTTTTAATGGGAAATTGGGAATGCTCACCAGGCCAGACCATGTAAATAAATACATTCCTTGTTCCAACAGGCTGACGGTATCTTAGCAACAAGGGAAATACCAGATAAATATTGGTCAGGCAGTAACAGCAGAGGTAGGAAAGAAACTACCGCACATATAGACACAGTCTTTCCCCTAATTAGCCCTATGCTGAATGAGCGATGTAGCAGCAGGGGAAACTCACAGCTGGGACACGCAGACCCCAAGTAACCCTGGAACAATGAACTCCTGTCCTGCCAGGGCTGGTAAGCAGCTCTGCTCCTCCAGCCAGGAAGGAACCAACTCCCTTTCCAAATACTGCTCTTGCAAAGGCAACTCATCCTCTTTGGAGAGAGGACCGGGAATAGAAAGAGCTGTACACCACGCCCTCCCAAGGATCCTTTATATCCCTATGATTTTTTAGTGCTGCATCTGGCACAAGGAAAAGTCCTATTTGCTTGTTTTCACATGTCATCATCGCACCCGCCTGCGTGGGAACGGCACAAACTGCTCTGTTTACCCACAGGCCACTCACAGGTGAGGAGAAACTTCATAGAAGCTGACACCACGGTATCGCTCCATGTTCTGTTTACTGTAGATTTCCAGTTCCTTGTATGGATTAACAGACACCAGAACCGAGCCAATGTATGTCTGAAAAAGAGAACACAGAGCAGAGAGGTTACAGAAGGTCTGGCAGCGGATTCTCCGAGAGCCCAGGCTGCTCTGTAGGCCACGTGTTGCTGACAAGGGCTGCCTGCCCCGGTGCACCAGGGATGCTGCTGAGGGCTTCCAAAGATGCTGAAGAAGCGACCTCTTAGTGCAGTGAGAACGACATTGAGGGAGTTACACTAGACATGTTATCCTTGCTGGATAAACAGCACCTGCAAGTGGTTTTAGCGCTTCTAACAAGCCAGAATACTGGATTATTTCTGATACACCACTTCAGATCAGGTTGAAGCCTGGGGTTGCTGAAAGCCCACCACAGCGTGAAGTCGTGAAATGGAAGAATGTGGGGAGAGTTGGGTTTTCAGAGCTGGCAAGACCTGTAAACGGCAGCAGGCCTCAACCAGAGCACTGCAATGAGTCCCTGCATCTGTTAACATGACAGCATCCCAGACTAGTTCTGACACGAGCAACCACGGTCTATAAAGTGGATGCTGTCATCCCCAAACCCAATTGCAGAGCAAAGCTATGGTGTGTCTTCTGCAGCAAACACTCAAATCCAGGTCACTGATGATCACCTTGGTGTCTGTCACTCTGCTACTCACATAGATGAGATTCTCCTTGAAGCGCTTGCGCAGATTTTCAATAAATGCTGCTTCGCTGGTGAAGTTCTCAAGCAGGACAAAATCCTGCACCCCGACACGGTCGCGGGCTGTCAGAGCACTCTCCATGGTCAGCCGGATACCGTTGGTCCCCGCTCCCTGCAACCAAAAGCAGAGGAAGGTTGGGATATCTGTGGTTTTCTGTGCAGCTCACTGAGTCCACAAGAACCATCAACCACAACTACCCATGGTCAACCTATAAAGAGGACTGGATACTAGAATAACCCCACTACTACTGCTGAAAACTCCAGTCAGTGTATACTAACACTTTATCAATTGGTTTATACTAATTGCTTTGATGGAAGACAAGCCAGCATTAGGGAAAAGTTATTACTAAATTTTCAATAACTTTAAATCAATCAATGAAACAGGCATTTCATAAAGAGAATAAAATTTGGATTTCCTTTCCCAGGCATCCTTTAGCAGGAGCGAGACTGAAATGTGTTCTCCCTACTTTTCTCTCTCATCACAGGAAGTCATTTTGAAGTAAGGAGTCATTTATGACTAATGATGATTCATCTCATGAGCAAACAGCTTCACATTGCCGACCAACTTAAAAACTTTAGCAAGATACCCAATAGGAAAATCCTGGGAAAATTCAGAACTAATAAGAAATGGGCATTTCTGCACCCCATGCCACTGAATTTAGATGGTGACACTAACATCTATCGCATGCATCAAGCAACTTCTATTCCCTGACCCTTTTCTAAAGGTTGTATTTTCAATGTGATGTGGTTCAGACGCAACCATCTTTGGAAAACACCAGTCTGCTGACTTCTTCACTCAACCTCATGTACTAAAACAGGGAGAGGAAATGTGCACCAAGTGACTCAGTCGCTACTTGCAGGGAAAATTTCTACACAACGGACAGATGATGTGCAAAGCATAGAAGACCAGAGACACTACAGAAATCAGAGACGGGAGATACAGCATATAAACCCATTTGCCTCATATCTGTCTGCATTTCCTTGTCATATTCTTAAATCCTTCTTACTTTGCAAACTCCTCACAACAAGCCCCCTTCTCCACAATTGTTCCCCTAAAGCACTAATGCATTTCAGAGAATCTGTTGTTATATTCCGGGACGTTGCCATCACTGGCACCACCACCACTGGTGCTTGTTCCTAAAGCTCACACACTAATACCCAGGCATGCTCTCCTGTAGCAGTGTTACACACTGGGAATGCCAGACCCCTGCTGCAACACTGTCAGCCAGCCCCAAAACCCTGCACAATGACGTAGATGATTTTTGCTGACTCACGTTGTCAAGTAGTTCCTTTCTGCTCCTTCTCAAGATATAATAGTGGTCAGAGCACAGGGACTGATGGCGTGCAGGGAAAAAAAAAAAAAAAAAACAAAAACAAAAACTTGGTCAAAAGAAAATTTACCTTAAGTTTTGTTAAGTAGTAATAAAGGCAAGACCCACAGAAGTATAAATTTGGGCCCAAATGGGTGCAAATTCCCTCAGTCTGCAGTTGTTCAGACTTACCAATCATGTACAAACACAGTTTTGCCTAGTTCTGCAAGTTATAATTGGCTTCCTTCCCGAAAGCCCAGTACCTGGACATAATTGATTGCATGAAACTAGTGGCTCTCAGAAACAAAAACCAGGTCCTCCTAGAAATCTCAAATCCAGATCTACTCTGATGGCTCAAACACAACAAAGAAACATCATTTTAATTTCCCTTTTTATTTTTTCGAATTAGTCTCATGGTCTGGAAGGCCCGATTTGTAAGCTTTGAAAGATCCAGTTTGGGAGGAATTCTGCAATACTGTCATTAATTAATCTTTTTTAAATGCCCCAAACTTTCCAAGCCAATTCCTCCACACCTTCAGCAAAGTGCTTTGTTATCTTCTTCTACCTGCTTTACCAAGGTGAAAAGAAAAGGGATAAGCCCTGGAGAAGGCAGGTGGTGACATAAAGGACAACACTGGCAAAAGAAATAGAGATAAATCACATACAAATAAATTCTGCCTAGAAATCAGCATCCTTCTATCAGAGCAGTGCGATTCTGGAGCGGGTTTTGGACAAAGTAATGGAAACAAAGGCAAAACCAAAAGAAAATAACTAGTGGGTAAGTTTATGAATACAGTTTTAAAACACAGCTGCCTCAAAAATGACTGAGGAGAAACTTCCACCCTCGCACAGTTAATCCAAGTTTATATAATCCTAAAGACTTTCACAGAAAACGTCACTTAGCAATTTCAGCAGCTCTTTCATCAGCCACTCCCTCCAGCTCAGGACAAACTGATCCCAGCTGTACACATCCAATATAAGGAAGAAGCAATCTATCCTACTTACAACACAGAAAACTGCACTTCGGCTGCCTCCTCTGGGACAGGCATTTAAGGCTGAGTAGCTTTCAGCTTCCTCCACACTTTTTTCTTCTCATTCAACTGTCTCCCTTTCAGTCATTTTTTAAAAAAAAAAAACTAAATGCAACTTTTCAGCAATAATTAAATGTGACCAGGTTACCTAGTCGACATGATGCAGACAGATTCTCCAGAATATAAACTGTGTTGTTCCCTCCCAAGCCCAAGTTCAATGCAAATATAAACACCAGTCATAAACCACAGCTGAGCAATATGCGCTTCTGTGTGCCAGTATTTGCTCATTTGCTTTACTGCTTATGTCCAAGTCTACCACCAACTTAAAACGTCAACATTAACTATCTGACTGCCAATAACTTCAACAGATGCAGCGTATAAGAAGGTGAAAATAAATCCTTTTTGAAAAATGGAAATAGAACAGTAATGCAGAAGGAAGAAAGTGGAAAAAGAAGATGCGATAGAGAAAAAAATAATCACAGTTATGACCGTATGTTCCTACTAAATGAATGTGACGGTAAGACACTGAATAAATTAACTAAAATGTTAGTTATTTTGTGTTAGCAGGCAGACGTCAAATCTGGTGGCTGTAAATTAATGCTAAAAAACCCAGTCTAGGGGTTAAATATGTTACAGTGCAGCTAATTAACCATTAAAGCAGCTTGCCTATGGCCAGGACTGGCTCCCTCAGCATCTCTGCAGTGGGTGGATTTATCCCTGCCAAAACGCCTCCAGCTGATGTACAGTTCATTTACAGCATCCTCTGCTCTGTGCTATGCAAGAGATCAGCTTGGACAACTCTGAAGGCCCTGTGGCAGGGAGTATGTATTTCAGATAATTAGGAGAATGTAGGCTGTGAAGGTCCGATTAGACCCTTCCTTGTGAAAATCAGTTTTTCCTGAAGCTGCTGAGAGAGTACAGTGGCAGAGGAGCCGTTCCGACAGTGGGAGCACGGGCGAAAGCTCCGTCCCACCTACCCTCCGCGCCGCTGCACCCTTTGGCTCACGCTGGCTCTGGGACTTGTGCAATAAACTAGAATGGAAATCTGATGTGGATTAAAACTAACTCAGATTTTATTATTTTAATCCTGGTCATTTTCCCACACATAATCACTTGCAATGGCCGACAGATACGGCGGCACAAGATTGGGAACCACGGAGGGGACGGGCAGGAGCATTCCAGCAGCGGGGCCGGTTCCTGATGTTCTTAAGTGCTTGTGAAACTGCCACATAAGAGGCAAGTGAAGTGCAGTCTAAGGGCTCACCACCACCAAACCAAACCCATCCCCTCCTTTGGACTTAGCCTCCCTGGCATGTTTTTAGGCAATTACCTGTCTCTGAGCCAAAGCAATGCAACTCACTAAGCCAGCAAAACAACGACCAGGAAAAAAGCAGCTGGTATTTTCCTGTCAACGTAGTGAGCTGAATCGCCTCAGCACGGGATCAAGGTGAGTGTCAGATGCAGGGGAAGGAGGAAAGGGAGCACAGGTGCCCTTCTGACAGTAACAGGTAGTTAGGTCAGTACAGCCATGTGCAGCCCTGCCTATAGGAATCAAAAGGAGGACCAGGCTAAGGATCCCAACCTTTGTAGGATATACCATGCTAATGCCTCGTCCAGCACAGGTTGCAAATAGGGAATTACAAAAATTTAAGAAATCTCCAACTGATCTTTGTGCCTGTGGGCTCAGGAGCGCCTGTGCCTTCTCTCAAACTGGCCTTTTATCCCATACTAAAGTCTCTGTCCTAGTGGCCACTCCTGCTTTAGAGAGTACCAGCTGCCTTTTGCCACTGTGTTTCTCAAACCCATCCCGAGGTGCAGTTCCAAGGGACTCATTCCCACACTATTTTAACCCACTCCTCGCTTTTAATCTCTTCTCCAGAGCCATCAGCACAACAGTGGCTCACTGCCAGGGAAGGAAAAGCCATCACCCTGAATGGTGGGGACCAAGCCAGCGCAATTACCAAAGCAGTACTACTTCCACAAGCCTTTTTCTTCTGTGGGATTAAATTTTGGGAAAGACTTTGAGCCGGTGTAAATTGGTGGTGCTGAATGCAGCCTGCAGAGCCAGGTTTACCTTGGCTGAGGTTCCAGCCGTGCTTTGTATTCATACAACAGTCAACAATGCCAAAAAATACCCTTTCACAAACAGCTCCTGGGAGTATAAAAGCACTCAAGATTACACCAAAGAGTTTCCTAAACCGAACTAGTCAGTCTCTGACACATCATTGTGAAAGTGTAAACAAGTATTTTTCTTTTAAACTGTGCTAAATGCCAAAGTATGATAAAGACTTTCCTCTGTTTAGGACAGGAGGATCTAATACACCTCAAAAAAGAAAACCAAAACCTTTTGCTCTGCACAACAAAATCCAAAGTACTTGAGTGACTCAGTCTGGGCACATCGGGGAAATTTTCTTTTGTGACAGAGGATGGACAGCAACTCTGCCACAAGCACAGGGGTTCAAGGCTGATGTGAACTGAGCAAGAAACGCCTGCCGCTGCCTTGTCCATCAGCTGATCTATGACTGTGCAATATCCAGTAGCCCAACATGTGTAGGATGGAGTCTTTTACACTCAAAATTTTCCAGCTTTGATTTTACCAGAGGGATACCTGAGTGGGCAGTGTCGGCACCGCAATTCCAGACACACAAGTGCTGCTGACCACAGAGAGAACAGGCAGCATCTGGCAGCTCAGGCAACTCGCTGCTTCCTGGAGCATCCGTGAGCGATGCACATGAAAGCACCTGGAGCCCTCAAAGTGAATGGTATCATACGGAGCCAGGGAGCTTTATAATCATCTGATTTAGAAAGAAAAGTTATACAACACAAACAAGATTTCTGCTTCTACATCTGAAGTGTATGTTTTAGTATTTTCCTCTGAAAATGCATTTGTACAAATTAGCTAGTATCCATTCAGTAGACCAGGAGATTTGCACTAAAATGACCGCAGGAAGCGGGTGCAGTATGGAAAGAGGCAGGCATCTTTATCTCGGTATCAAGTGAATGATGATTGATCTGTGGGTTCCAGAAATAGTTACAAACCCAGGAACGGAAGAACAGGCAAGAACCAAATGTGAGTGGGAAGGGAAATTCAGATTAGATTCTGGAAGACAATAAGAAGTCTGAACCAAGAACGAACTTCTTGTGGGGAGGTGGCAGTTAAAACACATTTGTCTCCTGGATAGCATGACATCCTTCACTGCCATGCCAAAGCTGCAGGAAGGAAAAAAAATTCCTTATTTCTACTTCACTCTACAGCCTGAGAAAGGGTTTGGACACAGCATGGGCTAGACAGCAGAGCAGACAAAAATCAACAATTTTATCCAGAGCTGCAATTCCTGAGGTGCAGAATGGGATAGCTCTTCTTTCCTTTTACATGGAGAAAGCAATAATGAAAACAACTGAGGTGGACCTGCACCAAGGGATCTTAGTCAAGCACTTGTCCTCTGCCGGCAAATCCCCAACAGATTGGAGTGCAGCCACTTAGGATCCTCCTCCCCTTTGCCACACTGAAAGTTAGCTGCACATTTTGGACACAGAGAACTGTTAGGTAACAGCTGGGTTGGAAAGAGGGTTCCCTGAGACGCAGCTTCCTATCTCACATAGAAATCCTCTGCAACCAAGTACATGGATTTATCTGTGCTTTCTGAAGCCATCTGAGCTCAGACAACAATTTCTATTACCCAAATCTCATGCATTGGACTTGTTTAATGAAAAAATGCAGTAACAAAATGAAACGGTTTATTCTGCTTTTAATTATGTGAACTCAGTGAAGACTGCCGTATTTCCCACAAGGTGGTAAGCTGTTCGGTGCAGACAACTTGAGAAAAATCAGAACTGTCAGATCAAATGGGATCAAAACCAGTTTACAACTCTGATGACACAGACTAGTGGAGTTAAAGGGAACAACTTAAACTTGCAAAAAAAGTTTACATGTCAGCAGCTGCCACTCAAGGACCATTTATAGGAGAATCAGTTTTTATTCCTGCTTCTTTTAGAGCAATACATCGCCAACAAAGGAATGTCTGGAGTCAGGGAGCACTTGCCCATGCTCAGAAACTGGTTATCACTCTTTGATACTTCCCTCCCAATCCTAAAACTCATGTTAAAGGGTTTTAACTACACTATTCAAAAAACTGTATTAAGGAGGGGGAATTGTTACTTCCTTGACTAATTTATGTAAATAATTTATTCTGTAGTCTTCCATATTTTAAGCAGGGATACAGGAATACATTAAAACATAAAATAATTGAAAATACAGGGTAACCAAGCTTATTCTGCTCTCACAACAATTTTCTATGTTCCCACTAACAAATCGCCTAAAAGTTAAAGCACTGCCTCCCTTACTTTCCAAGCTACAGAACCATTTAATCTCCCACCCTAAAATGCAAAGCAGAATGGGAAATGTGAGCAATGTATCACACTGTGTGCATTATTTTAAGTATCTATTAATGCATGTGGGTCATGGGGAGTTAGAACTGTGAAAGCAAAAATTTAATCTTTTGAAAAACAATAACGCAGGGTGTGGATGTTGCTGCAATTAATTATGACTTATGATATTAGTCAATGACATTTGACACTTGCAACATTTAGAACAGCAAGAATCAATATCTAAACGAGCTCAAATGTAAATTAGAGATGCAAATTATGATGGACCGGAAACCAAAGAAAGCCACAGAGATTTGCATGGCAAGCAGGCAATATCATTTTTTCAATGTTTGTAACACAATTATATTTTCCAGACTTTACTTCTTCTGGTGGGGGAGGAAGTAAGTTAGGAAAAAAGAGAAGCAGTTAATAGTGATAAGATAGAAGTAGTTATAACAACTGATTTGAAGGAGAAGAAAAATGTTTAGCCCTAAGAGGGGATGATGATATTTCAGTCAACAAGCTAAATATAAAATAGCAGTAAGAAAAATGAACTAGGCAAACCTGAAAGATCACCAAGGCTGGAAAAGTAACTACAGTAAATTTCTATATTTAGGGAGCTGACATTTCTGCTCCTGAGCTGATGACACAAGCTGGTGCTAATTAAAAGATGTGGCTGATCACAGTACACATAGCAGTACTACCTGTGACCTTGGGTCACAGGCCTGTGCATCCCACAGTAGCTTCAGAAGACAAACAGATGGCATAGAAAGCAAAAACTCAGATCACTGCTCATCCAAGTAAGTTTTGCCACTGACTTCCAGATCAGACGGAGCAGGTGAGGGGGGAACAGAAACTGAAACACTGGCCTACAGATACAACTCACAGCAGGCACTTGCTCGCCCTGCCTCCCTGCATGCAGCAGCGGGGTGCTGACCCCGCGCCCTTCGTCACTGCTCTTTGGTAACTGCTTTTCCCCTCTAAATGCACCCATCCTTTCGCCTCTCTCACTGTCAGTACTGCAGATCTCATACTGGCACTCCTGCAGCACGCTGCCCTTCCCCACACCATACCTTCCCACCTTCTCTGCTAGATTCCACACACCCCACACAACCATTTCAGACCATTATGTCTTTCAAAGACAGTAAAACTTTCCAAACAGAACAAGCACTCCAGTGCATTCCCAGGGCATGTGAAGGGCACTTCCACACCCACGTGTTCTCTTGGAGAATATCAAGCACCACCCTACTCAACATCACTGTTTATCACGCTCACATGTATCACATCTAAAACCCTTTTGCTATATCCACTGCTGTACAGAGGTTTGCTGGCTTCTGCAGTCCTCCGTGCCAACAGAAAATCCAAGCACAAGCCTCTTGAGTGCTATCTGCTCCACCTTCAAATGTGCTGCTGCAGGGAGGGACTAGGTAGGTCCTCCAGAAGCTCTGCGCTTCCCTTCATCACTAAGACCCTTTCTCAGATAGTGGTAAACACCAGACTGTTCGGGAAAACACGCAAGGATCTCTAGATTGAGCAGGTCTGGGATACTCCAGCCCCATGCTAATTCCTCTTCAACAGTCAGAGAATTGCTTTAATCTACAGACATGTTTTCAATCCTTCTCTTCTTCTATTTGGTAAGCTTACCAATTAAAGCCTTGAACATTCTTATCCAGTCAAAAGCCCACATACACTTTTTTATGATATTCTCTCATTCTTGACCTCAACATCATCTCGTGTCAGTGAATTCCTTGATCCAACTATGTATTGTACAAAAATAATCTTTTCATCTCTTCAGCAACTTTTAGCTTAACTGAATGTCCCTCTTCCCATGTTACAACATGGAAAAAGGGAGCTCATAATTTGCCTTCTCTATGGCATTACTGTATATACATTTTCTTTTTCCTCCTCTCCTACTCATCTCTTTTTCCAGGTAACAATCCTAGTTTTATCACTCTTTTGCCACATACTCATTTTTCTAAGCTCCTGGTGGCTGTCCTGCAATGCAGTACGCAGACCTATGCTTTCTGGTTGTTGCTAAAACATGGACAAAGTTTTACTAAAGTAAATACACCCTGGAGAAACTGAGTGGCAATGATTCCTTAAGCAGGTATTTCCTGCTCTTCCCCAGGGTGGCAGCCACAGAGAAAGCAGCCCATGTCCCTGGGAAGGACACAAGCAGAGCCCAGCACCAGTTACGGTACATTCACATCCTCATGCCCCTTCCACCCAAGCAAAAGCTCCACCCTTTCTTCTCCCCTAACCCTGAGCACAGCTTTCCCCCTCTCTTCCCACTTTCTCAAATCCCACCTCGACTTCCTCCTCAAAACATGTATCTCCTGGGGTTTTTTAATCCTATTTCAACCCTTTTCACATGACTTTCCAATGAAGAGGTCTTTCACAAAGCAGGCTGAAGCATTTCACTTTCCTGCTGAAACCTTGAGAATATATCTTCCTGCTTCTCAGACTAGATACACATCTGAAAGCTGCTAAACCATCAAAAGAGTTGAATAAATCTTACCGCGCCTCTGAACTTCATCTTTGCTTCCTGCCAGCTCCCGCAGCACTTGCAGAGACTTAGTTTACGCTGCTGCAAAAAGCAGGAATCTGAGGACAAGTTCTCTCTTCTGTCAGTTGCCCTTTTTTTTTTTTTTTTTTTTTTTTTTTTTTTTCCACGACATTTTCGGTGCAGTCAGAACTCCCTCCCTCCCACCAGCTCCTACTGGAGCATCCTGGAGAGGGCGTTTTCCAAGGAGAGGGAGAGGAACTCTCCTCCCCTCCCAAAGAGACGTGCAGGGCTCAGGAGAGGCAGTCCGAGGGAAAACAAGCAAGCTGCCCTCTGCCTGCAGCCCCTCGGCCGAGTCCCTGCTGCCCCATGGCAGGGAAAGACGGAAAGAAAAGTAATCCCAGCACTGGAAAACCTGGTGCAGAGCCCAACACTCAAAACCACAGCAAACAGGACAGGAAGCAATATGCTCCATTACGACAAGGTTTTGCACTGAAACAGCAGCAGCAGCAGCAAGAGGGCTCCCCAAACCCACCCCCAACTCACCCCCATCACAGCCAAATCTCCTGGGTTTACAATTACACTTGTAATCACTCTCTCAGCAAGTCAAAGGACTACAACGAGCCCTGGGGTAAGATGTAGTTTGCCTTGTCCTCCCTTGCAAGGACTTAGCATATTGGCTCAGCAGTGTTTTAATTCAGAAAGGTTTTGAGACATCCATCCTGCAAACACCCACTCTATATGGAGGTCCTTGATGTCCTTATCAGAAGATAACCTGCACTATCAAATAAGACCCTTCCTAGTAGGTCAGAATCAAGCTGCTGTTGCGCTTAGTCTCCAGCCCTTGCAGACAGAAATGGCACATGTTTAGCTGTCTCCGAGGCCATGTCCATTTGGTCTCACCCAAAAAAAACGTAATGGCCATAGCTGCACCCAAGAGTGTGAAAAACCACCACCACCCAGACATAAGGGCATTCTGACCAAAATCAAAATGTATATGCAGCTTTCACTAGCATTAGGTGGAAAGTGAAAGGACTAGAGTCAATGGACACAAGCTAGAAGGGAAATTCCAATGAGAGATTAGGAAATTTTTTTTTTTTTTTCACAATAAGTACTGTCAAATACTGGAACAGGGGCCCCAAGTTGTGAAACTCCATCCTCGGAGTTATTCAAGACTCAATCAGACAATGCCTGAGCAATGTGATCTAAACTGGCCCTGCTTGAGAGTGGGGCTGGACCTGAGATCTCCATAGGTCCCTCTCAACCTAAAATTACACTATGATTCTATTAATTAACTTGCTGCCCAATCTAAGCTATGTGTTTATCCTAAAGTGAATTACAGGTATAGCAAATAAAGCTACGAATCTGTTACAGAGCACACTGCCCTGGCACAAGGCCCAGCCAAAGTATACCACCCTTCAGGTATTCCAGGTCACAAGTAGTTCACACTCAGAGCAGACAGAGCTGCTGTCTGGCAGCTGCCCAGGGAGCCAGGCAGACCCCTGAAGGAGCCGGGTTCTGCCCTGAGCCAGAGGACCTTCCATTTCCAACCGTCAGTGACTAAAAAATTAGTCAGCCATTTGATCTGTCTCACAGCAGCTAAGGAAGATGATGGGTTTCTGTCTACAAGTCTCCCAACACAGATAATCACAATCTGCACAAAGCATGCTGCCACCCTCCTAACGGATGCCTCTCCAAGTGACCCGTAATTTGGGACTCCACAATTGGACAACACGTGGCAAATGGCTACAAACTAGGTGCAGGTTTCTCCACAGCGTGCAAGGCCCTGCCCACACACACAAGGCAAAACACCTAACCTGCACCTGCAGCTAGGAGGTCTCAAACTTGATCTAACTCTACAAACCCATCAGCTGAGTTTTCAGAGGTCCTTTGCTCTAAATGCATGCAGCCACATTTGCACTGAGCAAACATCAGCCTGATCCAAACACCACCTAGTTTTCTGCAAGAACCTTATCAAAATTAACGGGAACATAATCTTTGCTGCTGTGCATCATCTTCTGAAAAAGAGACTGCTGCAGACTCTCTCTTGCATCTGTTCAAATACTTCTGAAATTTAGGTATCACACTGAAGTCACTATCACACTGAATGTCAGCTATCACCATCAGTTCACTACCGTACACAGGTAAACCGAGGTGGCAAACTGAATAATGACTCTTTGTCATCATAAAACTCTTTTGGAGGATATTATTTTTCTTTTCTTAAGTGGGGAAGGCTTTTCTTGTGATCACAGGATAACAGAATAAAGCAGAAGTAAACCAATTCTCTTTCTCTAAGGGCCAAAGAGCCTTTTCAGGTGTATTAGTCTCTGATCAGATATGACTGCAGCACCCCAGGCAGCATGCAGCACTACTGAGTAAGCCCTACTCTACATATCTGCCCAGAACCAACATTTACAAGCATCTCAGTTGTTGGAATCCATTTACAGTGGTCCCTCGTGGCAGTCATCAACCAAGTTTTGCAGCGCCAAAAGGCACGTTCTCTAACCAATGAACATGCAGAGCCACATTCCCAAGCTTCACGGCTGATATTTCATGACTGACACTATCTGGAGTCCGCTCTAGTTAAAGAGGGTTGTTGTTTTTTTGGTTTTTCTTATCAAAAAGCATACTTTACAAATTCTATTATAGAAAGGGTAAAGTCAAGCTTTAAAGTAAAAAGATATAAATAAAGCTACTTACTTCACTTGAAAGCTTTTTAAAAGTAAAACTAGACTTTAAAAGTAAAACTAGTGCGCATGGCCACTACTCAGATAGGAGGCTATTTAAAACCCAAGAAATGTAGCCAATGTTGTCAGTGGTTCAGTGCAGCACTCCTCTCTAATTAGCTCAGACCCACGGCATTGATCCCAGAGATCCTGCACTGTGGTGGATGTCATTTGTCACAGGAAAAAGGTGCCAGCAGTTACAAGGATTTGTGATGAAACTTGGATAATGCTTCCAAAGAGAGTTGTGGTGCCACCAGCTCTTCCACCCTCATTAGATTCTATTTTGAAAAATTATTCATAGTACCTCTAAATTCTTGCACAACTATTTGGCATGATTTTTATTAATTTCTTATCATCAACCAACTGAGGACCTAGGTGAATTATTAAGAGGCAGCCTCGGGACACATTTCAGATGTGGGTTAGCATTAGTTTATTTCAGAGAATTGAAAGAAATAGAGAATATTCCAAAGCCCTGCTCAGAGCAGGGGCACAGGTAAGATCAAAGGTAATCTAAGCTACATTTCCCAAACTAAGCCACATTAGGCATTACTGAATCACAACGGCAAGCTCTGAGCCAGGAGTTTTCCAAGTATAATTAGAGCTGTAGCCTGGCAGCTCTAATTCTTCAGAAGGAGAATGTCAATTTTCCATCATAATTTCTCAAATCAGTCTACTTGTAGCCAAACAGAGTCAATAATACTCATGTTACAATTTTAAGTTATGTATTAGCACAGTTATATTCACATTAACAACTTTACCTCTCCCCTAGTTTATACCTCCTAACACTTCTCAGGACACATCTCATCACTGAAAATGCCCTGTAAGAGAAGAATATACAAGAGCCCAATATTCAGAAGTAGATCTTTTTACACATTTCACTTGGCTTTTTTATGCAGGAGAACCCTTTTATTTACTTTTTCACTGAGAAGACCTTTACTCAAAACTTTTTTTTTTTTTTTTTTCTGTAGTCAAACTACTGCCCAGCTGTTGCTGGCAAGGAAAGCACTCCTGCATGTGGGTTAGTCTAAATTGGGAGGGAAAACAAAAAAATAATTGGAAAGCAGAGATAATCAACAAAATTATGAAGGTGATAAAAACAGGCTCTTCCTTTCCAGCAACAGAGCCCAGCCCTTGACTGTGATTTCTGCTGAGGACGGCTGGCCAGGTCTGTATCGCTACTACAGGCAACCACAAGCAGAGGTATGAATCAAGTTTTCCAGGCCTCACCAGTTAGAAGTGACTCATATAAACCCTGGATTAGAGCACTGGGATTGTTCTGCTCGTTGCTGATAAGCAGCTGATTCCCTGCATACAATTTCACATTCAAAGCAAGGGGACTGGAAACCTTTCCTGTCAGCCCTGCTCCAACAGGCTCACAGAGCAGTGCGTGACTTGCTAAGCTACACCTGCAAGCAGTGGATCTACTGAAAAAAACAAAACCAGATCTGGAGTTTGGCCCCATGAAATCCGCATCAGCAGTCTTCCCCTCAGCTGTGCAAATTCCACTGCACAACATAAATGTAAAGGTAAAAGATGCTGGCTTGGGTTTATGCTATTCAAAAATCAATGTGGATCACATCTACATTATTCCAAAAGCAAAAGCTATCAAGTTCATTTATCAGTGCATATCTTTTTTTCTGAATTTTTATAATATTCATTACTTCTGCCTTGCAAAAGAACTACAGAATAACACACATTCCATAATTAGAAAGCACTTGGCAAAGACACCATGGGAAACAAACCACCCTAAACAGACCAGGAATTTGAAAGCCCTTCCTCTTGCAGGTCAGAGGAACGTCTTAAAAAATAGAAATTTCTTTAACCTACCACGTGTCCTGCTGTCACGACTATACCAATCTAAAACTGATTAAAATGCCTCACATTCCTAAAACACCCTATAGCAGAAGCTGGAGGTTCTGATGGGCATTTGGCCCATTGCTTGAGAAAAAAGCCCTGTTCCAGCAGAGGATATCTGACTGCATGATAACCGGATAAATCAATGCCCTGCCAAAGAAGCAACATTAAGTATCGTAACAAGATTGATAAGAAGGCAGAACCCCTTCCCCCTACCATTACGTCTGCTAGGAATTGTTGTGGTTTTGATCCTCTTTTTGTTTGTATTAATGCATCCCCTTTTTTCCCATGCAGAGAATAGCCAGCTGTCCCCCAAACAAGCAGTTAGCAAGAGAAAAGCCTGGACATAGGACATTGGTGTCTGGAGACACAACAGTCCTGGTCAATAATGAAACTAGAGACCTACAAAGGTTAAATCAAAAGCCCATTATACTTACTCAAAAGGTGTCTCAAGATGGCAAAGTTCCTTAATTTTACTGCAACCTTCATGGCATCACAAGTTCTGTGAATTCTCTGATTCTGTGTGAATGTGTTTGCACAATTATAGACAAAAGGTTAAAAACATGATAGGTGTGGTCAAAAGGGTTCAAAAACCAGAAGACAAAGAATATTTAAATTATTTTTTTGGATTCTAATTTATGCTTTGTAATGCCTAAAACTGTCAATACTGGTTTTGTTTGTTTCAAGAAAGCTTCAATAGTGAGAACGCTAAACATCTCTTCTTCCCAAGCTCAGCCTTTCACAAATAAACGAGGATATTATAAAAAATGGAGTATTACAAAAACAAAGATGGAGATGCACACCTCTCCTTGGACTCCTATACTTTC